CCCCCCCCCATCACAATCACACAGCACATACTTTTTGGAATAGGCTAGATGGAACAGTTTTGTTAAAACATCGTTTGTTATGAATTAATTTAAAATTTGCTCTTGTACTATACATGTTAACATGTAAATTTCTACAACACATCACGTTGCGTCACCAATTATCATATTTTTAGATTAAACTCCATTCGGCACACCTCGGCCGATTCCCACTTCATCTGATAAGGTGACGGAATCGACGGCACGAAGGTTTGCCGAATGGAATAGCATTAGCAGTGTCATGCTGCAGTCTGGTGTGCATTGGATTAATATTCATTTTGTGTTATAATTGGATTATATATTTCATGAAGTTGACAAAACCTATGGAGGTCGGTAAGTACAAGTTTAAGTATAGTGGGGGGTAAAATAAACCCAAACGATTAGGTTAAAGTTCAAAAAGGGTCAAAGATCATCGCATGCCACACTACACGAATTTCATATTGTGAAGTTATCTCCCGTTGTCGATGTGACATTCAGTTACTGCCAATACTGGTGCGGATCCAGAATTTTTTTTCGGGAGTAGGGAGGTGGGTTCACATCTCAGTCAAAACATTCCAGCCCAGAATTTCCTGACAAGCAGGAGAAAAAAAAAACTGAAAACAAATAAACAAAATAAAAACAATGATAGTGGGGTCAATGTTTTCTAAGTTAGGGGGAGGATGTCCAAAGTCATTTTTTTATTTGCTTCAGTATATAGTCTTGTTTAAATAACAAAGCAAATTCCAGGGGGGGGGGGGTCCAATCTCCCTACCCACTCCCTGTCCCTGAAATAGTATATTTTTTTCCATTTGACTAATTATACATATTTTGTTTCTTGTGTAAATATTATGTCTGTCTATTTGTCTGCAGAAATTATAACCTTGCCCATAAGTTTTAAGTGGGATGGGCTATACAAATGGCTTCCACGTTTTATAGGTTTATTTCTTGTGACAATTAAGACCTTTTATTTGGGTACCATTAATTTTTACCTCTGATCGCTTGACCTAGGATAAACATTTTTACAAGAAAAATACCAAACCTTAATCTTGGCTTAAATTTTGATCAATAGGTGCTAGGGCTTTCATGCTTAACATGTACTGTATTCATTGTGAACTGTCGACAGGTTTAAATATGTTTGACCTTGACCCTAGAGTTTGAACCACTTAAAAAAAAATTAACCTTGGCAATTAACTTTTCAGCAGGAAAGACTAGGGATTACTTATTTCACATGTGCATTCCTTGTGACAAGACTTTCTTCTGATATCAACAATTTGAACCCTTTGACCTTGACCTTTGAGTTTGACATATATTTGAGAAACTTCAACCTTCGCCATAGGCTTCCATACAGGGACATCAGTGTTTCACAAACACATCTTGTCTTCATTATTATTTGGTGCTGTCTCCATATGAGGGAAAAATTCCTGAGAGAGATGTATTCACAACAAACAAACAAATTACTAAAGAAAATATAAAACATGAATATGTTGGTCATGCATATCTCTGCATGAAAAAAACAGCTTTTCAAATACTGCAACCATATTGTAACCCTTTCAAAGCACTCATTTGAGCTTTTCTGGTTTCCTTATCATATAACGTATGTCGTGACGTGTCGTCCATCTGTTTGTCTGAAACATTTTACATTTTTAACTTCTCTAGGACCACTGGGCCAATTTTAACACAATTCATATAGAAATATGTACATTTGTATGTCAGACTGTCCATCTGTCTCAATAAATTTAACCTTGGTCATCACGGTCATATCTACTGAATGAGAAGAGACAAGGCATTCATATTAAACTTATGTACTAGTATTTACCTGTGAGAATGGCATGGTGTTTTTTTTTTTTACATATGACCTAGAAGTTTGACCTACTTGCAAAAAAATTAAATTGTTATAAATTCATCATTTTGAAAGAGAAAAGTTAGGGCATTCATATTATAATGCATGTATATTATTACCTGTGATAAGATCTTTCCAAATGAATCATGACTTTTACTCTGTGACCTTGACCTTGAAGTCTAACCTACTTTTCAAAAATGTTGCATTTGCTTATAACTTTTGATTGAGATGAGATATGACTCTCACATTTGACATGTACATTAATTACTCATAAGAATTCAAGGTGTTTCCCAGCATGCGATGCTTTTTTTCCCCTTGACGTTGATGTATACATAATTTTCAAAATATTTAACTCACCTAAAAGATGATTAGGCTTCTGAGTAACATTAAGGAGGACTTCAGGAAAGACAGGACTTTTTGCACAAAAAACGTCATTTTTCCACCCCTATTTGACCCCCGGGGAAAAAATCAAAATTACGAAACCTTACTGCACATCTACATAACACCACCAACCATCTCCCAAAAGATGATTAGGCTACTGTGTAAAATGTAGGAGAAGTTCAGGGAAGACGGGGCTTTTTGCATAAAAAACGTCATTTTTTGACCCCCATTTGACCCCCTGGGGCAAATTCAAAATTCCGAAACCTTACTGCACATCTACATGACACCACCACCCAAAAGGTTATTAGGCTCCTGAGTAAAATGTAAGAGGAGTTCAGGGAAGACGGGGCTTTTTGCATAAAAACGTCATTTTTCGACCCCCATTTGACCCCCCGGGGCAAAATCTAAATTCCGAAACCTTACTGCACATCTACCAGACACCACCAACCATCTCCCAAGATATGATTAGGCTACTGTGTAAAATGTAGAATGAGTTAAGGGAAGACGGGGCTTTTTGCATAAAAAAACTTCATTTTTCGACCCCCATTTGACCCCCCGGGGCAAAATAAAAATTCCAAAACCTTACTGCACATCTACATGACACCACCAACATCTCCCAAAAGGTGATTAGGCTGCTGAATAAAATGTAAGAGGAGTTCAGGGAAGATGGGGCTTTTTGCATAAAAAACTTCATTTTTCGACCCCCATTTGACCCCTCAGGGCAAAATTAAAATTCCAAAACCTTACTGCACATCTACATGACACCACCAACATCTCCCAAAAGGTGATTAGGCTGCTGAATAAAATGTAAGAGGAGTTCAGGGAAGATGGGGCTTTTTGCATAAAAAAAAACTTCATTTTTCGACCCCCATTTGACCCCCCAGGGCAAAAATAAAATTCCGAAACCTTACTGCACATCTACATGACACCACCAATCATCCCCCAAAAGGTGATTAGGCTGCGGAGTAAAATGTAGAAGGAGTTCAGGGAAGACGGGACTTTTTGCATAAAAAACGTCATTTTTCGACCCCCATTTGACCCCCCTGGGCAAAATCTAAATTCCGAAACTTTACTGCACATCTACCAGACACCACCAACCATCTCCCAAAAGATGATTAAGCTACTGTGTAAACTGTAGGAGGAGTTCAGGGAAGAAAAGTGTGACAGACGGACGGACGAACGGACGGACGGACATGAGTAACAACAATATACCCGTACTTTCTTTAGAAAGTGCGGGTATAAAAATCTTTAAACAGTACAAAACTGTGAAGAGGAGATAAATAGCGATATCGATCCCTGGAAGTTTCCAGAGATTGGATCAGTGGGTCATGTCGACCATTCACACCCTCCCTGAGCCATATGTATTTGTCAGGTAGACGGAAGATTCCGTAGTCAAATGATTATTTGTCATACAGTTTAGTTGTCTTAGAAGGCTTCATAAGTGTTTTGTTTACAGTGAAGAACTCCAACATCCTTTAATATTGATTTGCATGTACTTATGTACAGAATCAGGGTTAGAAGCATGCTCTTTGGCGTGATATTTAATAGAGTAGTTTGTTGAAATATCAATCTCAAGATAGGAAAAACATCTGACTTTCATTTTTATTGAAGAAGCAATTTTTTATGAAAAAGCCATTAAAAATTAATTGTTAGGATATACTAAGTAATCTGAATATAAAGTTTGGAAAAGTCGTACAATTTGATGTTATTGACTTTTGAAAAAAAGACGACTTTCAATTTAAAAAAAAAAAGATGTTTTACTTCTTTAAAAGAATTGAAATCTGATTTTCATCACTCTCACGCCAAACCCATTGTGACATCTCAGCAGTGGGGTATAAAAAATACAATGAGTGATGTGCACAAGATAGAGAGATAAACATGGAATAAATCTATTTTATTTAGCAGTAAATTCCACGTAAAAGTGCCACATTATATGAAAAAAAAAATAGGATAAAGATATAAACCTTATATTATTTTTTATATCCCTGGTAGAAAACACATTGAGTGAACGTACTAATGTGTTCAAGCACGGTAAAGAAAAAAACCGTACACACCCCGCGTAAGACGTTTGATTTTAATTTGATTGGTATTATATCCATTTCATCAAATTGGATTTAATTTTTGTGATCTTATGGAAATACGAAGACAGAATTAGGCTCTCAGATATTTAATCAGCATATAGGAGAATAATTTGGTAAAGATGGTCTTAAAAAGAATCAGAGAAGCAACATTGATGTTTTAGAAAAACAAAAAAAGTTGTCCGACACGTGACATTAGATAAGTCAGCCCCATAGAACTTGGAATCGGGGACTTTTTTTTAATATAACAATTTTACTGAACTACATTTCATTAACATGTATCTGCCATGTCTTTTGTAGTTGTTTCACTAAGGTAAAAAACACTGCAAACTTGGAAGTAAAAAAATATATGTAGCTAAAAGTTAAAGAAAGATCCCTCCACCGAAATAGGATTTTCTAGCTTGGACAGACTGGATTTTTGTTGCTATTTTTGCTTGTTCGAATTTTTGGAGTTGCAGCCCAACTTTTTAAAACCCTGCTACAGGACTGGCTATTTTTCTGTCTTATCGATAAAACAATGAATAATGCAACAGAATAAATTCTACATTATTTCCATTCAACTAAAACAATATTTTAATCAATAGCGATCAGTACACAATTTTAATAATTTATGTAAACATAGGAGGATGTCTTTCTAAATAATTTAAATATATTTTGAATACCCGACCTCTAACGAATGATTTCATTCGAGGAATTAAAATAAGAGGACTCCAATCAACGAACTTTTCTTTCCAGCTTCAATGTTTAGCGTTATTAGAACTTGAACAATATTTAATTTGAGCTCCATTTCTCGTACATTTACAGTGATTCTGCTGTAAGCTAGCAGTAAGTAATACAAAAGTGTTTAAAATAGACACAAGAAAAGCAATGATCCCTATTTTAGTAAGGAGTTTTTCACTATAAGAAACCATAAGGCAACCAATTCTTTTACTTCCTTCATCAAGGTAATTCTGATCAACTTAGGTCAGTTGGGTTTTCATTAAGTCACTCATTAAGTTGTGTTTTTTTTTTCAGATCCCGAGAAAAGAGGAATATAAGAACAAAAGAGAATGGACAGTTCCACCGATTTCAGTTCCTCAACATCCATTCCAAATCAAAGCAAATCTACTGCAGAGGATCCTAGCTTTGATAACACTTCGAATTTCCAGACGTATGGCCATGGCGATAATTTTGATTTAGTTTTAAGTTTTCCATGCACTGAAAATTTTCCATATAGATGTCCCACATCAGTAGTTACTTTGTTGGTGTTCCTTTTAGGAATCATAGGGAATACCGCCGTCATTGTGATTATGAAAAGGAAAAGACTATTTAGAAAGACCTCACATATGTGTATTCTGATTTTGGCGATCAACGATTCATGGTCTCTTTTGTGTAACATTACCCGTGAGTTTGTATTGTATCCTAATTTAGATTATTTTCGTCTCAAATTTGGATTTTTTGAACCATTCTGCGTCATTTTCTTTGTGCTGTTCTACACTCCTTACCTATGTTCTAGCATCAATATTGTATTTATGGCATATGAGCGCTATATTCTTGTCACCAACCCGCTCGAGTACATGAAAACACATACAACAAAGCGCGCTGTTTTCAGAGCACTTATAGCTTTTATAACTTTTCTCATCATTAATACGAGTTATGCCATTGTCATGTCGGAAACATCCAAATGTCCGGATTATCTATTCTATTCAGAGTATTACGCCTTTATAAGTGTTCCTTTTATAGTTTTGTCCTCAGTTTTATTATTGCTTTTTCACTGTCTCAAAATAGTAAAGCTTTCAAAATTACAAATCTTAGGAACCAAGCATTTGAGAAATGCTCAGAGTCATTGGCGCATGACAAAAATTGTTTACGTTATAGTTATTATTTACATTTTGTCTCAAATTCCTTACGTTGTTTATGATATTATTTCTACTTGCGATACTTTCGGTCTCTTTGTATGGCCAGAAAAAAATTATGCTATACTTTTGGAGTATGGTATCGTGATATTTTTGATGAATTATGCCGTCAACCCATTTATATATTGGCTAACGCCTCTACGTTGTAATTGTAATCCTAAAAGTTTGCAATCTACATCAGATACAAGTAATACAATATCGACTATAGGGTCTCCGGATAGTTAAGATTACATCCAAAACACCAGGAATGCAGCTCATTCTATATCGTTTATTGTCTATTTAATGTCTAATCAGTAACATTATAGAAATGATTTTGTTCATACGTTGTAAAGTCAACAAAAAATAATGGATTGATAAATATGACCAATAAGGATAATTGAATATTATAAAAATATAATATATTATATATATGGATGTAATTTTACTACACAAAGAAATGGAAAATCCTCTATTTTATGATTTTTTTTTGACCGAAGAGATGAATTTAAATCAAGAAATTTAAAAAAAAGTTTTATATTATATTTAGTACAAATCTTTTTTATTTTGATAAAAACATCAATTTATTGGGTTTTTTTTAAATCTAAAATTATAAAAGTAGCGGTTTCATTCTTACTTTTTAAATTAAGAACAAAACAACATAAACAGGAGGTCTTAGGAAATGCTCGGGTAACGATATAATAAATTTAACTGCACGATAATGTAATGCATTTTACAGGATTTCTGTCTTAAAAATGGAGAAGCTGGCAAAATAAATATTTTTAATGTTATTGCACATTACAATGCACATGGCAAGGAAACAACTCTCCACAAGACCACGTAAAAAAATCTTAGATTAATATACAAAATATTAAAATACACGAAATAAATGTAGATATCGACTATATATAACTATTTAGTTTTGGGCATTATGGTTGGGGCATTTTTGGAATGTTTAACAAGCCACAGCTTCCTGTATTTAATTATGGTATAAGTAAGTAATTTTATTTATTTATTTATTTATTTATTGATAGTGACATGTGTATATTTATTCATATTCACAACCTTCATAAAATAAGAATAAACACCCGGTCCCGATAAAATTATGCTTTTAGTATGTTTTTATCTTTAATTGTCTGTTTAATATGTATTTTCTTGACAAAGTACTCTGTCATATATTGGTTAAATAAATGATCATTCCAATTCCTGAACATTAAGTTGTGTTTTCTTGTGACACAATAAGCACCATTCTAGCAGATATCCATAAATAAACGGTGTTATTAACAGAAAAAACTGTGATTATTATTATGTATGAAAAGAACAGTATAAATATTCTATTTGTGAATTTCAGATATGTTGTATTGTCGATGAGCAGTGAATACATGTAACTTGTGAATATAAAAAAATATTTCAGACAGTTTGGGATCTGCTAGAACATGGAAGAGACTGGTCTATGTATCTTTTTATTCAAATCTCTAAACTTAAAGTGTTTAGAATTTGAATTTATTAGTTTTATATCAAAAAATGTGTAGGTCACCAGATTCAGACGTGTATGTCAACATAAAAAAATCGCACATTTTTTGTAAACAGTATTATGAAAAATATGTAAAAACTGGTTGAAATGCATAATTCTGATGCTGAGTGTTCCTAATAATAGTGAATAGGCAATTAAACTTAAGCGGATGTCCAAAAATAGATATTAATCATATTAATGGTATAGGGCAACTGGTAGACTTGTGGCGAAAAGAACTGCCTTTTACAGTTGACAGTTTGACATTTAAACCTGCATCATGTACTGAGGTACAGAATTGACAATAGATAAGAAAACTTTTCTAGTGGGCATAGGTATGGTTTTAGGGACACTGCTACGTAAAGATTGGGAGTTGAGGGTAGGGTGGATGTCGTATTCTTCAAGGAAAACTTTTTTGTGCTTTGAAATAACTCGTAATTTTCGTTAAATTAAATGTTAAGCTAAATATTTATATCGTACAAGAGTCTCCGTACATTGTCGTGGTGTAAATGAAACCTGTCAACTGTATAAGTAAGCGTTCCTCACAAAATTCCATTCTAAAAATTTCAAACCCAGGATTTAGTATTTTATTTCGATGTATATTAGCCGATATTTCTTCGCTTTGGCATTAAAACTGTTCTCCGTATAATTAGTGATAGTTAGGTTAAGTTGGGGCTTGGTCTTCAAAATTTGTGGTGGTGTATAAAAAATAAAATGTATATCAAAAATGGAATTGCAATGTGCAAACTGTGTTCTGGGTATGACTTTAAACTGCAAATATAACCAAGATCTTTGTAACAAAACCGAATTGCCTTAGGCATGCTATAGGTACAGAGTTGATAATTGATACTCCAAAACGTTATTATGTATTGAAAAGAGATTTGCTGGGGTAAAGATAACGACCTGAAAAATCTATAACAGTTCAAATCTGTAAAAGAAGGTACATAATTAATCACTGAACCGTAAACATTCCACACACAGATCAGATGCCAATGAGAAGAAAGCAAACTGTTCTTATTATTATGATTTTAAAACCAGGATCACTATAGAAAATTTTTAATATTAAAATAAAATCCAAGATATTAAAGGAAAAGAAAACAAATAGACGAGAAGATATTTTTCCTATTGAAAGATTGACATGCTTTTAATTTATAAAATCATAAAATTTGTTAATAGAACATTAAAATTTTAGATCTACATTAGAATTAGAGAAGTATCTTTTGACGTGTTAAAACTATTCTGCAAAGTATTTAAAGAAGCCAATAGTATAGCCCAATTCTGAAGTTTATTCTTATCCTCTTATATCTACATATTTTAATAATTCATTTTTTTTCGGGGTTGACCCCCCCCCCAAAAGTATACTACTGCGTTACTTTATATAAATTCCAGAGACTGAATGTCTTGTGTTAAAGTGTTTTTTTTTCTTTTGTACGTACAATAAAACATACGGAGATAACGAACTGTGTTCAAAATCAAAAATCCATCAAACAATACAAAATAGGGGCAGAGCAAATACGAACCTCCAAAACATCAGAGATGGGATCAGGTGCCATGGAGGAGTATCCCTTGCCGACCGGTCACACACGCCATGTGCTTCTTGTGATAATCGGGAAATAACGAGAAAACCCGTAGTCAATTATGTGTATAAATAATGGACTAACAATTAGTATGAAAAAAATATATGACGTGCCAGTGCTAATCTTTGTTCTTTATAGATTTTAGTATATCAAGGAATTGATCATCCCTGATTATATTTTTTTATTATCATGAATTTCTTCTTTTTAATGCTTCACATTAGGTGCTCATCAAAACCGTTCGCTTAATTAACTTGTCCGTCTAATACCCACGAGCACAAGAAAATATTTTAAGGGTTTTACTTTATTATTATTAATAAAGCCTCACCCTGCTCGAGTTCATCTTAGTAAGGGGTCTTATATTTTATACTTTTGTTATTTTTCTAGAGAGTTCAATCATAGTTCACTTATGTCAAAAAAGAAGAATAATATGTTTATAAAAAAAAATACGACTCAGGTGACCTAATAATACAGTTGTTTTTTTTTTATATAAAAATTAAAGCAATAGAAACCTAACCTAAACCCGGAACCCCCTGTCTCTGAGGCCATGAATATGGCATTATGAGAGAGGCACCCTAGATCATCAATACTATGTACTATTGGCTAAATGTTAATGAGTAGAAAGTCATAAAAGATATTATACAGTTTTAATTTACGTGTCATTACTTTTTCAGTTTTATATATTACCATTCCCCACGATAAATTGATAAATTTGTCCAAAATCTCTCGCCTTCAGCTCGATATATCAATATATCTATATGACGTATTGTCAATTAACAACGTTATTTTCATTCTTATGTCGATATAATATATCCCGATGAGCTTGATATAAAATATACCACAGAGTCTGACACATCTGTTTGATATCTGTGTATTTTACTTTTAAAAAAAAACGTTGTTGATAATCTAACGAGCAACTTTTTTGATAAACGTGATGACTTTCACTTTCCAATCGTCATTTTCAATTACTTGTGCAGCAATTTACATCTATCACCTGCATACGGGGTAAACGTTTCTCAGTTGATTCGAAACGCAAGAAGTTGGTTATAGATAAACAAATTGATGAAACAAGACTATCAGAAGTGTCGTTTACAGTCATCATTTAATACTTTCTATGGCCGATACAAGGACCTCGACAGCGAATACAATTTAGTATTAAGTTAAGGATGACGTTTACTCAGGTTTCAGAAAACAGAAAGGAAATTTTATAAAGTACATATATAATATGTTAAATAAAAATTGTTTTAAAAGGATAAAATAATCGAGTTTTAACTCAAAATCAATTAAAAAATTTAACATTTCATTACTCGAAGAAAATTAACAGGAACAAAAATCAATGTATGGTAATGCAGAGGAAATTAGGAATTTTGTCACAATTTATCGTTTCTTGCAATATTAATCACAACGTAAAGATTACATGCATTTTTAAACATCAATTTGCAAATATTTTAGCTGTTAAAGCTCACAAATTATTTCAAATAATTGAATGCTATGAGATAAAGAAATTCGAAAATATGAACAAAAACCATTCCAGACAACATATCTCAATAATTTGATCATTGACCCCATTTGATATTAATACCATGAGAATTGGGGCAACAAAAGTAACCTGGGGCTATAAATAATTTAGAGTTCTTATCAGTAAGATTTTTTAGATATTCAATTCAAAATGGAGAAAAAAATATAAATATGACACAGGAAATTCGGACGGAAATAATTATCAAGTTTATGGCCCAAACTCTAGTCTTTTCTTTATATGAAGCAAAGCTGTTCTGTTGCTATAATATTTCATTATTTAAAGAACTGTACTACTTGTAATATTTTGTCAGTAAAGAAAAAAATGGTCACAGTGTAAAAAATTGAGATATTTTGCGAGAAATACTGAGGGGCCACTAGCATGAAAATTAGGTCATTGACCTAGTTATCTGAAATTGAAATTTACCGAAAGAATCATAGGTGTACAATGTGCAATAAGTGGTTTTTCGTTCTAAGCAGTGGAATTTTTAGTCATCCTGGTAAAGGTATACCTTAAAATGACTTTTTTATACTAATTGTTGGGCCAATTTTCACACACGAAATGTCGACGGATTTTCCTGCAATTTCCCGATCATGACAAGGAGCACACAGTGGAGTGTAACAAATCCTCACTAAATTTTTAGGTTTTTCCAAAAAGTGATGCTTATGAGGGTCTTCGTGCTAAATTGATATTTCAATTTTGTTTCAATTTCTGTCAATTTTCATCTCACTAGGTGCCCCATATTCGTTATCAAAATATAATTCAAATTGTTTGTGTTGTATATTTTGCATTCATATTGAGACAGCAGTGATTGCTATGCTCTAAATGTGTATTGTTTAAAGGACTTTTGAGACTAAATACTGGAAACTTTCTAAGACCAAATCTATTATTTTCTAACACCAAGCTTTCAGATCCCCTCCCCATGGAGGAAACCCCCATCACTAGCCATACGTATACCCTTGCCCCGTCTGGAACTAGGAATGCCCAGCACCCTTGCCTCACTTAAATTTTTGAAAACATACATATAAAATTTTGCATGTCCGTGATTGCTATGCTCTAAATGTGTATTGTTTAAAGAACTTTTGCCTTTTTGTTATCTGCTAAAAAACATTATAAAATCTAACCTTAAGAGCCCTGCTCAAAATTCCTCTGACTCAGAGAACAATTTGAAATTTAGAAAGATACACCATTGCTCTTATCAAAATTATGAACTTAGAAAAATTAATATCTAATTCTATATAACCGGACCATATCACCAGAATTTCTAAACATGAGTATATAAATTTCACATTTTTTAGTACAGAACTTAAGCTTGTTTTAATGCATGGAGATCTGTGTTTGCAACGATACAAACTTAAATTGTTCAATGGACTTTAAACTTCAATACCATTCATCATCTCAATATTTAATTGTTTCAAACATGCTAACAGTTTGACTACGTTGAGTCCAGCAGTGAAAACAAAGTAATTATCTGCACATATTTCATTTAATGATATATGTACATTTAAATTCCAACTTTGCTTAAGTTTGTTTATTTATGTCAATTGCAATCAAAGTGTCATTTCAACAGATATTCATAGAATCCCTTTTTATGAAACTTTGAATGTAAATTTCTCTTAATGATTTTTACTTACATATATACATAAGAATAATTTTATGAAAGAAGATCCATTTTCTATATATTATGCTGATTTTTAGTCTATATCATCTCTCTTCAACAACAGAAAAATCTTAATGGAAATAAGAATATTTATTGCATGACGCTTCACATTTAATGTAAGGGGTCTTAAAATTTGATTTTTTTTAGTTCCGCAATAATTACATACATGTATCTTTAGCTTAAATTCGAACCATGAAATAAGATCATCGACGATTTCTTAAAGAAACACACACAAAGGGGAAAAGTGAATTTTGTTCAATTCCTAAAAGTATTAGGTTTCAGAAAATTGCAGGTTTCATAACCTAAAAAATCTATTTTCATGGAGAAAATAAAAGTAAAAATAATTTTAGTATGCCAAATAACTAAAATATTGTTTTACGTCTTCCTCCCTTTTGTACGCATGTGCAGAAAAGTTGAATAAGCTACCATAGTTACCATGGTCTCAAGTACTCGTGATTGAATGTAAGTATACCAGTTTTTATTGCAATCTTTTTAAACAGTTGTTAGAACATATTTCTCACCTTTGCATGCTCCAGTTGAATGTTGTCTACAAGTTTGAGCTAAAAATAAAAGTGGAATGACCTTGACATACACGAAAACAACGAAACGGTAGATACAACCTTTGTTTTTTTACTTTGTACTTATATTATACAGTTTTTTTTTCTTGCTTTAGAGTGCAGGTTAATTGTAATTTGTTCGCTATATACTCATAATTTTCATGTCTCTCTCTGTAGACAGATATTCTAAAATAAACACATGATTTGATTCATTATGATTGATTGATTGATTGTATATTGTTTAACGTCCCTCTCGAGCATATGGAGACGTCACCGTATGCCGGTGAAGGGCTTCAAATTTTGACCTTTACTGGGCACTCAGGGCCATTGAGCAGTGAGGGATCTTTATCGTGCCAACGCCTGACGTTAACACGGGGCCTCGGTTTTAAGGAAGGACCCGTATCTTTCACTTCAATGTGCCAAGCGCATCGAGAAGGAACAGTTGCTACCCATTTTTTATCGACTTAGGTCAGTCGCGGCCAAGATTCGAACTCACGACCTCCCGATCACGAAGCGATCGCTCTACCGACTGAGCTACTGTGAACGGTGACTCACTATGTAACTTTAATAAAAAAAAATAAAAATTCCTGAATGTACCCTATCATCAATTTTTTTATGAGACAATGTTAGAATAACTCTATTCAATATAAAAGATAAAATGAAATGAATGAGCGAATTGTGGAAAATAACAGTAAAAAATTAATGATACTGCAAATTCAGTATTGAAATATTAAAAATTCCCATTGAAATAATCTTATTCATAGAAGGTTCTTTTAGGTTGGTTGCATTAATATTTCATGAACTTTTTGTAAGCCATCAAAACAATGTCGTATGATTGTTTTAATATTTAATGACCATTGTTAAGTTATGAAAAGACATGATGTTCCATTGGTCCTTTTAAAAGAAATAATTGTTTCTACAAATCATTTTCCGAAAGAAAGAACGCCCATAGACAATATATTTCTCCATTTTCAAAGTTCACGGAAAAGTATTGTTTTACTAAAATGATGTTTTCAGTAGTGCCTTCTTCAACACATTTGATTCTCTCTCTCTCTCCCCCCCCCCAAGTAGTAAATATTGAATATTGTTTTAAGCTGTTTTTTTTTTTTGTTCACCTAAAGCTATTTGTTTTTCCTAGCTCTAGAGTGAATGAAATCTAAAATAATCACTTAATTGGTTTATAATCCCTGTAGAAGAAATTCTATACCGGAAATGTTGGGAAAAACGAAACTTACACGCACATAAACTTTTGTTTGTTATGTATTCATTACATTAGACAAACGAACTTTTAAAATATTAATTTCAAAAGTGAAATGATACTCCTCTTCGTATCTTCCCACATTGATATTATATAATTCTGTTATGAATCACTGAGGTATACTATACAGATATTTCTGTGATTCTTTTGGTTCTGATATGAAAGATAGATTCTGGAATATGTAGTTTTTACACATTATTCATAACAATATATTTTTCCTCCAATATATTCCCCCAACTTACAGTGTATATATTTACAGAAATACGCAAAGTTTCATTTTTAAGTGATAGTTGTTCACTTCTAGCGAGGTTTTAAGCAATGATGTTCCCGATGTTTGTTCAACTTTTGAATTGAAAAAAAAGAAAGCTGTGATGGGTTTAGAAGCGTCTTGGACAAACCGTGACCATTACAAATGTAATGACATGAATCCTATCTAGTGGCTTTTAATATAATTATGCAAAATTTAATGAATTACTGCCTTTATTAAACTAAAGATGTGAGGAAGGGGCTTTAAAAATCAGTTCAAAGCGTTCAGATAATTATGTGATGAAAGTTCTGACGTCAGAAAAGAAGAATAATGTTTTGCGAAATACTAAATTGTAAAAGAAAATAAAAACATGCATTTATTTTTTAAGGATATAAACAATTAACTTATGCAGAAAGTGTTATGAAAAAATGTTTCATCAGATTCATAATGTGATGACCATTTTCGGATGTGCTAGCATGAAAGTGTCAATAAGCTATATTTATGACATATGTCGCTCGCTTAGAAATTCATTTTCATGACTTTTACAATATACAGGACAAACTCATTCAAAATTTAAAGACATCAATCAATCGCTGACAAGCTTTAAGCCTTCTTGTTTTTTTTTAAAGGAATCTAGACAAAGAAAGTTAGATATAGATTTTTTCAAATAAATATTAATGAATCATTTTTTATTGTTTTCTTTGATACCTTAAAACGAATAAAACCTTTTAAAACACTTTTGGGAGTGCCCAATAAGAGATTCTGTCAAACTAAACTATTTTTCACATTGAAATATTAATTTGATGTTAGTAATCGATGCCTTTGAAATCGGTTGATAAACTAAGCATTATTTGTAACATAGATATATAATGCAAATTACGTATGACTTGAATGCATCTAAGTCACGTCTAATGTCTAAACAATAAATCCACAAAAAATTACCAAAACAATTAAAACTATGAAAACATTGAAAGTGTTAGATTAAAAAAAACGAACAGTTTTTTGAATATCAAACAAGAAACCTAGGAGAATATGTTTTTAAATTCAGTGTCGATAGCTTCCTGCAATACTTATATTTCATCTAATCCATTTGAACATGTTTTTGTCACAATACAAGGTAAAACAACATTTCACTTGGGTCTCGGAAATTTTTCTATAATTCAATTCTCGAACAAAACTGTTGGTAATAACCGAAGGGTATCAAACAAAGAGATAATGGGTCTGACACTTGTATGCGCTGGTTGTCTTCCCCTCTTCCCATCGTTTTCAGTAATTATTTGAATCCCTTTTTCCTACGTTTTTTAACATAGTGGTCGAGAGTTCCCGGGTCAGATTTTCGTTCGCGGCACCGCGTCAGACTTAAAACGTAAACATAGGTAGTGACTGTTCCTTCGCAAAGCGCTCGGTATTAGAAGTGAAAGTCACGGGTCTTTCGGATGTGACATTAAAACGTAGGGCCTGTGTCACGGTAGGCGTTGGCACGATAAAGAATCCTCACTGCTCAAGGGCCCCTATATGTCTAAATTTGAAGCGCTTCACCGGCATACTGTAACGTCTCTAAATGAGTGAAAAAAATCTCAAATGGGACGTTAAACAATATACAATCAATCAATCAACCCTATTCTTTCTATATTGTAATTTTTATGTAAACTTGAAAGATTGGAAGAAGAGCTAACACGGATTCCTAAAACATACGACGTGAGATCAGATTACATAGAAGATTTAACATCCTTTTTCAAGCGGTCAAGCCTGCTGTGTGGCTCTTGCATGATCGGGCAAATGGGATACTCTGAAGATAATTCAGAATAAAAAAAATGGCTGGAGATATATTCAAACGTAGAGCATGCTGTTGCGGATCAAATCAACTAAACAAATTGTAAAGGTCCCCCTTATCATGTCTGGTCAATCGCTACAGAATCTACATTTATTAAGCGATAGAGGAACAACATGACAGTTTTCTGTTACAATTTTCAATCTAGCAATAATGGCTTAGTAATACCGTTTACCCCAACTCAAGTATGACGTCACGATCTGCAACAGAGCTAAGAGCAAATGAAAGGAAATGTAATTAAGAGAAAATTTCAGTGCTTTGGAATGCAAACAGAATTTATTTCACATAAAGTTAAACAGAAATTTGTGATATTTTAACATTTTTTTAAAAATTGTATCAAAATCGTAAAATAACTTCCTTTTCCATAAAAATAATACTAAATATTTTATATCCTCTCTTTGATATAAGTGTTTTTCTTTTAAAACGGTTCCTAATGTCCTGTTTCCACTACAGGAGAAACATCGGACACATCACTAATGAATCTCTCAGCTTCTAGAATTCATTTCAATACAGTATCTTGATTTTGTATTTAGAATTCTTGTCCTTTTTGGATTTGGGAAATTGATCCTTTCTGTTAAAGTCAGTCCTCCTGTTCGATCTATGGTCATTATTTGAAAATATAAAGGTAAATGTAAAAAAAAAAAAGTTGAGACAATAAAAGTATTCACAATTTTAAAATTTTAATCTTTAAATTAATCCTAGAACTACATGTACAAATGATGGGCAAAAGTAGCTTTATTTGAGAATAGAAATAAAAGTAGAATTTTTGATATTTTGCTTTCTAAATTTTTAATAATGAAATTGGATATCATTTTGAGAAGTTACAGATCTTAAGTCTTTTATATCATCACACTGGATGGTCAAATGAGAGCAACCTGAAGGGCAGTGATTGTAATAAATCAATTAAAAAAATGATTGCATACTTGTGTTCCTTCTTGGAGATCTTTTGATTACATACACAGATAATGGCCATCATTATGATGGTAATGAGGAGAGGTATGCTAACTCCCAGGATGAAATATATCGGTATCTCTGAAAAAAAAGATCAGGGTTAATAAAATGGTAGAACTAGAGGTCTATAATTTAATAATCCTTTTTCACTCTTAAGAATAATGTATAATAAGGCATAATTTTTGTCTTTGGAAGAAAGTATTACAGTTTATGTTATCAGTGATATGACCATGCGACACACGCTACATGTAAAATTACGACGTAATTAACGTGATCCTAATGAATACATGTACATATCTTTGGATATAAGCACTTCCCCAGTTATCACGTAAGTCTGATGTGACAAAATGGTGTCGTAAAAATGAAACAATTTTACCCCCATCTTGTTATTTCTTGGAAAATAGAAGAAAACAATGACTTTAAATGGCGCTTTTATGATATGACTTTATTGAGTTTCACGAATGAGAGGACCATAAGCCAAAATTTAATGCGAGTAACTTTTGTCAGCTGTTCTTCATCAGCAGATCATTTCAACTTACAGGTACCTCTGTAATGTCGTAAAAACTTTGAAATAAAATTACACAGAAAGAGTATTTTTTAAATTCTTACATGTATAACATATTATTCTTTGATAACAGCATTTAGTTTCAGGGAATCTCCTCAAGGAAATGTTATTATGGTAGAGGAAGCAGCAAATGACGTTGTGTAGCTTCACTTGACTTCAAGGTAACACGGTTTTCTTCATCAAGTTTTTATAAACCTTCGTATTACATGTACATTGTACCTTGATGAAAGTGCCTTTTAGATATACCCGATACATAGCTGAAGGTTTTGGTTATATTTTGTTTCAATATTTTTAACTTCAATTATTGTTGTAATTTGTAAAAGCACTTTTGACAGACACTTACAGGTGCACTTTAAGAAATCCCTCCAGCCGAAAAGACATTCACAATAGAAAGAACCTGGAGTATTCACGCAGATTTGAAATAAAACTGTACTGCAGTTGTGAATTCCTTCGCTGCATTCGTCAATATCTTCTGAGCAGTCAAGACCAGACCAACCTGATAAACAACGACATACCCCATCAACAGCGTCACAAGTCGCCGTTTTGTCAGACGCACACGCGCATCGGTCAGAACAGGAGTCCCCGAAGGTAAAATTTGCACAGCCTTTAAAAAAATGAGTTTGAGTTTTAATATTTTAATTGACACAATTGGTGAAATCAAGATTTACGTTATTCCTTGTTTGTACATCTGTAATCTTTTTAATTGTTTGATTGATTTTTAATTCCTTTATAATTTCTCTGCTATGATAGTTGTTTTAGTTTGTCTTTCATAGTGTCAGTAATATTAAGTCAAATCCTGACACAATGTAAGTATAATTTGTTCATATCTGCAGCTCACCTTTCTTTTATTCATGAAGTATTTTTACCTGTACATGTTAATCCATTGCCTTTGAATCCGCTCAAAAAGCTACAGTTGAAACTTCCGTCTGTATCGATACAAAGCGCGTTTTCTGAGCAATCGTCAATGTGTTCAAAGCATTCATCGATATCTGTATAAGATAGGAAACGTACATGCATGTATCAATTTTTGGATATATTTTTTTATCACATTCTTTCATGCAGTAAGATAAGCTTCACCAAACCAAATGAGCTTCGAAAAGGTGAATTAAAAGTACCAAGAAATATAAGAATAAATTTATGTTATTGCATATCTGGTAACAATAGCAGAAGTTGAGTTCTTGTCTGCCAAAATACCAATTTAAAGTTGAAAGGGGAAAGTAATAACCCATAGATATCTATGTTAAGGCAATAAGAAAAATCGCACTTCAAGCAGAACGGTGTCAAGTAAGTACGAAGTCGTGTTGAACAGAAGAAAAATCATAAACTTCACGATAATTTGTTTGATACAGATTTTTATATTGAGCGATATCATGTATATTTTGGGGACCACAACCAATCCCCCGTATATAGAACGATAAAAAAACTTTAAATGTATAGAGTTAAAAAATGGGCACTGACTGTAGCACCCCATTTTCGTTGTTGCGTTTAGGCGGTATCCTTCGCTACACAAACATTGGAAAGCTCCTGGAAAATTGTAACATTGGTCACAGTCATGATCAGCAGATGCACATTCGTCTATATCCTGGCAATCTCTCTCGTTAATAAGTTTGTAACCATTCATACAGCTGCATATATAACTTCCTTGAGTATTTTCACATTTATGATGACAAATTGCAGGCTCCTCACACTCGTCTATATCTGCAGAAAAAAGATCAGTATGTTAAACCTTAAGATCCTGATGTACATAGTATCAAACAAATTGAAAGCAAATAAAATATCAAAGTAACCCTTCTAGGTGAATATATATGCGTTGACATATAGGACCGATATTGGTTTCAGTCTTTAGAAAAAGCTTATATCGATATCCGTTCCAGCCGGTGACCTAAGGGCACATGCGTGTAGTTTCTTGTTTCTTATGTTTCGCTTTAGTTCTAACAACTGTGTGTTCATATAACCTAGCCTCGGTATTAGATATATCCTTTAATTTGTATGAGGGACATTACTCGGTGCCTGGGTGATGGCAACGGGACACAAAACCTTAATTGATATTGCCACATTCTTTTCTAATCTGTAAACCTTCATCCTGCAATTTTAACGCCACACAGCGCCACTGCACATTTTATCCCCATGAAAGAACTGCATCTACTCTCCATAGCGCAGTATCTCTTCCACGGGCCAATAATACTATAACCCAGAGATGTTCTTAAAAGACAAACGCAGCAATTTTTGCTCAATTTTTTGGTGACATCTGCAGTATCGAGAACACAAAGTGGATGATTAGTGCTCTCGAACAAATTTGGCTGACTCTGAGGTTAACTTCCATGTGGTTGCGTTTAGTTCAAAAGAATTTATGATTACATTTCCATAAATGTCTTTATCAACAGTAAACATGCATGTAAAGAGGAAAATAAAAATAAAATGTAAAAGCCTGTAAAAAAAAAAACCCAAATAAATTCGGTTCATACAGGTGAAAATTTTGAAAAAAATAAAAAGTGTGTCCAGAGATGGATTCGAACCAAGACACTAAATATTTAGTAGTAAAAGTCTGCGGCTTATCCTCCTCTGCTATACTCAATATAAAGTCATTTGTCATAAATATTAGCCAGTGTGATAGAAATAGGTTTTCGCATTTTTAAAGATTTTTTTTTTGAATTTCGACCCCATCGCAGAAGTGCCCATAAAAAAAATCTTGTCTTAAACTATTCCTCGGATTCTATAAAAAAAAAAAAGAAAGAAAGAAAGTCATAATTTAATCTAGTTGCAGGTCAACCCTGAAGGGCTTCCAAGCCAAGATTCACGCAAAATGGGAGCTTTAACAGACAAAATGCTCTTTAGGCCAACTTCGGAGGTTAATTTTAAGTTGTAAATAATCAATTTTCGGTTCAAAATGCAATTTTGAAAAAATTAGAAAATTATACGGTAGAAAACAACTAAAGAACATTAATTTTTAAATGTGACCTTTTCCAGAAAATTGTTCTCTTCTTTAGCTCATTTTTTTAAATTTACGAATACATACACAACTTTTATAGAAATTAAAGAATTAAACATTGGAAAACAGCAAGTTGTTAAAAGGAAAGAAACAGAAGAAAGTTGGTTGCTCGGATGTATATTTAAGAATTTTCTCAGAGAAATGCACATGTAACGCACTTTAAGCAGCAAAGCTTTTACCAAAATGGTATTTGAACAAGTATGTCGATTACAATACAAGAAATAACTCGTTTTGACCGATGCAAAACACCTCGAAAGATAAAAACATTTAAAAGAAATGCATATATACATTTATAAATTCACGAGTGCTACTGACCTGTCTCGCAATAACCGCCTTTATAACCACGTGGACAAAGACATGTAGAATTTGAGCAGGTACCTCCATGCTGACAGTAGCAAGATTTCACTATGTCTTCATACAATCAAAGTGATTCAAAAACAAGAGTTAAATCGAATTTACACTTTAAATAATCATCAAAATTGAAATCAGCATTTAAAATGTATTTAAAAAAGAGGTCAATCATATTACTCAAGCAGGTTTCTCCACATTTGAAAATTTAACCTTGGAGGAAGCTGCGCGAAGGCGAAATGTGACTGAAAACAATCATGAATGTGTGTTACAAGAAGACTTCTTAACCTTCATTAATGAATGTTTTTTTTTTCTTCAATTTTTACACTTAACCACTGCAACACAAAACGTTGAAATAGCCAACACTTTTCTAAGCTAAAAGAATAATAATTTAATTTTAGTTGTAACACGTTATTTGATTGGGTAAAAGATTTTATCTATTTTGTATAATATAACTTGCCTAATAAGTTACGTCAAAAACGTTTGGCGTTACCTTTATAATTTCCGGAGGAAAAATTGTATCATTGTCTACACAGAAACTTAATTGTAAGGAATGAAGCTGATCTCAACTTACTTGCGGTAGTTTACGCTTTTTTATAAACCATTTTGTGGTTTATAAAGCGTATACTGCCCCAAGTTATGTTATAACGTATAACATAAGTTGCAATAAGCTTCATTCCTTAACTAGTTAAATTGAAGTAAAAAGAAATATTATCTTACTTCACAAACGCACTTTAATTTGCCCAAAACTATTATAATCTTTTGAAGGAATTTAAAGAAAAAAAATTGATACTGTACAGTAACCATGGCAATATTACTAGTATTCAGAAACTAATGCTTTTAAGAATTGTTATAGCCTGTTGTATGAAATGTTTTGTTTAAATATGACTAAATCTGACGAATGGGTAGTATTTTATTTTAAGTTAACACACAAAAGAATATTTGAACCAGAGTCCCTTTTTTCTAAACGTTTAATTTTTCTAGATATTGCATTTTTCACCGAGTTTACCCTTACTCAAGTTAAATTGCCTCTTTAGCTAGCAACCAACCTTCAAAGTAAAAAGCCAAAACAAAACCACTGCCAGCATATCCAAAATCGCTTACAAACCGCACCTCTGTCGTTGTATTATTTAAAATAATTCTGTCGGACGTCCGTAAAATGTATTTATCCCATTCTTCACAAAAATCTGAATCATAAATATTTCAAAGTAGATATAGTATGAAAGAGTAAACTTTAATATGTAATATTTTGTACACTTCTTTTTACCAGATAATAACTAAATTCTATTTTTCCTGTATAATAAGTAGTTTTTTTCTAACCATTCTGTTTTCTACATTGTATTTACAATAATTGAATTGCATTTCATAAAATCCAGGATCAACAGAATATATTATACCATCGTGTTACATCTTTCGACATAAAAATCATTTTGTGTTAGGCTGATATGATTTTAAAAAAAACCCTGTAAATTCAATATTAAATTTAGAAATGATAAAACAATATTAAACACAAAAGGTTTTACTCGTAGATAAAATCATTTGATAGCTATGTTTAGCAAATATTTATATAAATTTATACATAAACTAACTTTCTAGACCATTTATCTTTACGTAATCAGCGCATCCATCATAGCCTTCTTCTATATTCTGAGACCGGAACTCAAAAACCAATCGAATGTTATCCTTCTTTAGAGCAGACTCCACTGACCAAGAGCATTGTAAATTACTATAAGTAAAACAAAACAGAAAATCTGATCACTCTTTGCCCTCGTCCCCTTTGTATAATTTGATATACGAGAACATACCTTGGATATGCAGACGGAAATCCCGGAGATATGATGTATTGGGGTGTTGATTCCGCCAGTAGAGTTTTATTGCTAGAGTCACAGGTATTAACTTGATGGAAACAAAATATAACTAATAAAAAGCCAAAGAAGACATTCGACAGAAATCCCTTTTTAATCTATAGACTATTTTTCGACACATCAAAAAGATGTCAAGTTTACATAATTCATAAATATTTTTTTTTTCAAAAATGATAACTACAGTGTATCTTTAAAAGTAAAGTTTATTTATGATACAAATGAGAAGCTCCTACTTCTATTTTTTTCAACAGCCATGAAACGAAACTGAAAGCCACCTTCCGTATAGGGCGAATACGTCATGAATTTCAACAGAACTTCCGAGGATCCTGTTTGTATAAATTCACGACAATATCCATTTGAATTTGGACATCTGACACATTCATTTCTTTTTGTTAAATCTTTTGAATCTGTTGAAGGAAATGACAGTATAAAGAAATCTCCAGCTTATTCAAATTATTTGTTTAAAAACGTTTTATTGTTCCTACCAAGAGGAGTGAAATCGTAGGTCAAACGTAAAAAAAAAAACCAGAATCCCTCTGGACCATTAATTAATCAAACTTAAATCTGCTCTTCGTATCTGAAGATGTATATAGGATAATTAATTCTTGAATCTCCATTAAATGATTATTAAGTGGTGTTAAGAAAGTTCGTTCCATGATGAAATATTTTCAAAAATTTCAAAGTAGTGCTTAACTAACGAGATGAATTTTCAAGTCTGACAAAATCAATAGAGTGTGCTTTAAATCTAGAGCAATTCATTTCTAGCAGGAATTATAAGGTTTTTCTTCTATATGAAAATAAAAATAACACCTTTAAAGCACCCGAATGACATGCTTGTCATTTTGAGTGAATATATAGGATAATTTACTTTTTTTCTTCATAGCTTATTTTGCATCAGACAAGCTGATGGGCATACTAGGTATGAAAATATAAATCCCTTTTCAAAAGAATAAGTTTGCCATTTTGAATTTTTTCACTGAATTGATAATTTTTTTCATAGTATTTGAAAAGGATGTTTAGACCTACTTGTATGTGATATATACAGGTCACAAATATTCATCATCCCTGATTTTTCTGCACAGACATCATTTGTTTTAATACCTAATATAAATTTTGAACAAATAAAACGTTTCCATATCTGTACTTTGAACTATTATTATAGCCCTACATCAAATCTGGGGAGCACTTTATTTTTTATGAAACATTTTTTTTCCTTTTTTAAGTATCATACTTATCACTGAGTCAAATGCTGACTGACGTTTTTCCTTCGTATTGTTAGTCAATTATTTACACATTTAATTGACGACGGATTTCCCCGTTATTTCCCAAACATGACAAGGAGCACACGGCGGGTGTGACCGGTCGGCAGAAGATGCTCACTCCTCCATTTGCACCTCATCTCCCTCTCTGATGTTTTCGAGGTCCGCGTTTGTTCTGCTCTTATTTTGAGGTATTTTGATCTTGAATACTGTTCGTTATCTCCATATTTCATTTTCGTTATAGTCCTGTGAATTGTGATGTCTTTAAAACATTGATATGTATTTCCTCAGGATGCTTGTCTGATTTAGACTTGCTTTTATTGAGATTTAAAGTATTGTAAACGGTGTTTTCGAATATATTCCCATTCAAAACTTTGAATTCCTTTTGTATTGGCCAATTATAACCCTCAAATAACCTCAGAAATTGATATGACTACTCTTGGCCTAATTTTTTTCTGATTTTTAATGATTTTGTCTGCTTTTTGCTTCATGTCGGGCTTTTATCTATTTTAGTTTTTCTACCCCTTTTGCCGTTCACGGAGGTTCAGTCAGGTAAAGGGCTCGCTGCGTAATTGGCAGGAAGTGAGTTCGAATCTCGGCTTTATTAACCCAGTCGATAAAATTAAATTGGAAGCAACTATTCATCCAATGTGCTCGGCATTTTAAAGTGAAAGCTGCATGTCCTTCGGATGAGAACTTAAAAACCGAGGTCCCGTGTAACGACAAGTGTTGGCACGATAAGGATCCCTCACATTGAAAATATTATAATCTATTTTGTGAGCCTCTAAAGAAGAAAAGGAAAAATATTTTTCACCCTCTAGTAGTAAACTCGATGCTTTATTCATAAATCGTTATATTTCATAAACGGTAAGATCTCTTGTACATGTAGATTTCAAATTCAAATGTCCTATATGATTAAACATTTTTTGGACTCAATCAAACAGAAGAAAACAATATATACTATCATTAGTGGCTTTTCTAAATACACATATATATGCACCTTACAAATGTAGTATAATACCTTACCGTAATATAGATGGACAGATGCCTCAGATTCGCAAGCCCATTGAGGATAAACAACTATTTCATATCCTTCAATTGCATTGATGTTCCAAGTGCACTTTAAATTACTGAAACATTCTTTCATTACTGATTATTCTAGTCACATAGCAGAATAAACATAAGCTTACAATTTAGGATTCAAATTACACGCACCCTTTCTTAAATCGTTTTGACTGTATAATTATACATATTCTGAATTTCAAAATAATCCTCACGCTTCATATCCTTTTTTCAATGGATAATTCTTAGGAAAAGCAACAGTTTCTCCCATGTAAGGCTGGAGCATAATTTGTTGACCATCTTTACACGCAGAAATTGTTGATACTGCATAAGATAACATCATATGTGCCACAGTTAAAAAAAATCATATCCTCTTAAATTGAAATTTGACAAATAAAGTGTTTGAAAGTGTTGGAAAAATTTATTGTTACATGTAACATTTTGACTCTTCACTTTCTTTTTCTTGTATATCAATACTATTTAGAAACAAAAATACTTTCATTTCGTGATATGATTCTCGTACTATAATTTAAACTGTTATTGAAAAAATCTTAAATGAAATATTTCATATTTAAACAATCTTGTTTTTTACTAGTTACCTCTAGTACAATTAGTGATAGAGACGTCATCAATTGCTATATTTCCTTGGTGGTCTTCACCTCGAGTACCGGTAATTACAATCTACAAAAAATAAATACCGTAATTTATATGATCTGTTGAAGAAAACATTTATTCAATTGACGAGCACGACAATTCTTTAGACGATCTTCTCAAATAATTGGTTATGTCTTCAATTCTGATAACTTTTAAATCAGTTGCTTATTACATGTATTAATTTGCTGAATACAAATATTTTTATTTTATTTATTTTATAAATACGAAATTCATTTTAGGAAGGTATTTTATATGGCATATCCATTCTTTAAAGAAATCAGCCATTAAAGTATTGGAATTTTCAATTCATTATACCCAAAATATAAATAAAAAAAACTCTCAATTTAAAAAAAGTTATAACTTTTAAAGAATGTTGCATAGATAACTTATTGACTTGTTAGAAATGTTGTAAAATTAGAAAGAGGGTTTTACCTGGAAGAAGGATGCCCTTTCCCCGATTTCGAACGATCCTTTTTGCCAGTTGGTCCCTTGGTTACCAGAAATATTCCACAGAGAGTGAAAATTCGGAAAATCTGCGTCAGTATCTTTTATTCCAATGTGCAATGAACGTAAATCTAAATAAAGTAATTAAAGGAGTACCTGAATTTTAGATTTAAGACTGACAGTGTTATAAATTTTTAAACAAAGAGCAAGACGGGCAAATCTAAAAGTAAATTAAAAATTCATTTTTATCCGTTGTCTACCAACAATAATCAAACATATTGTAATAAGATAGAAAACATTTTCATAAAATTTACTAAAAACAGCTAATATATCAATAATATGTTTACTTCCTTCTCCATCTCGTCCATGCATGTGATACCAGAATTCAAAACAGAGTCCAGCTTCTACTGGACTGTAATATGGTGAAAAGAGAGTAGTGTAATCTCCTGGCTCTCTGGGAATGGATGCCTCCATTAAAAAATAGTGACCTGAAAGTCCACAATTTTGTACGCTTTAAAACTGAATTTAATATGGAAAAAATGGTTTTTATTAGTTTGAAGTCTAAATGATTGAAAAAAAAACTTGTTAAAATATGTGTAAATTTTATCAAGTGTCTTATGTATAAGGAATACTATTTATGCCACGAAAGTAGAATATTTTTCAAGTTAAGGAATGTTTTCATTTATATGTATTCGAAAAGTGATAAAAATCTATTAATTTTATTACGATGACGAAAAGTTGTTAAATAAGTGACGACGTTTAGGTGAAAGATGCTATTAAAATATATAAGTCGTAATATTATAGAGAAAATATTAACTTCAAATATGTGTCCAAGTACCTTTAAAATAGCCAACCCTGTACCAAATATGCGATAAAATTAAATAGGTACATTCTCTGAATAAAATTGAAATAATACAAGTGACACTTAACTTGCAATTGTATTCTCTGTCTTACTTTTGTAAATAATATCAGGGGTTAAAGTTTTTTCGGGCAAACAGATAAACAGGCAAACAAAATAATTGGAGAGACAGGACAGAAACTAAATCCTCCCAAAACTTCGATTGCTGGGGCGTGAAAACATATCAAGGAAATTTTTCTCAAAGTTTATGTAAACTTTCTTTGAGTCTTACTACAATATTCATTACAACAAAGGGACACAATACAATCGATATATTGCTGATCGGAAACTTTTCCGATGCATGCAATATCATTTCCTTTCATTAAGACATTGTAAGATCAATTTTTTTACACAACTGTTTCTGAATTGTTCCAGTAACACTATTTTAACAATATTGTCAATCAGAAACTCAAGCATCTTTTTTATGTCAACTTTAGAGTACTTGTGTGTTCAATCAGAATGTTTTTTATAACAAAATAATTTTGCAAATGACCAATGATAAGGTAATTAGATCGACGAGTTTTATTTTTATTGAAAAGACAGGTTTCAATGATATCAAAAAGCCTGGACTTTAATTTATCATGGAGAATGGTTGTGTATAAAGTGGAAAAGTCGTAATTTTTGCGCTTAAAAAGCGGGTGGGTATATAGTAATCGGGATGTCTGTCCGTCTGTACTTTACGCTTTCGGGTACATATCTCTTATCCGCAACTTCTGTTTTACCACTGAATGAAATTTCAAGAGAATTTCAGAATCTTTAATATATACATACTTTTTGATCAGACACATATAATTGTGGGTTTTTCAGAGCAAAACATTGACACTGCCATTTTTTTTTCTATAATATTGAAGTGTACCCATCTCTTATCCGCAACTCCTTCGAAACCACTGAAGAAACTAAAGGTACTTTCACAGATTCTTTATCAAATAATGCCATTGTGCACCACTCATTTTACTTTATTATCTGACACCTATTTTGGGTCTCCAAGAGCAAAGCAGGGACTTTGTCATTATAATCATTTGGGGCGGGGTATCATTTAGTGGGCTCGTTGCTCACAGTACCTTTAGTGTTTTTAATTTTAAGTAAACCTTCAGTCAATATTAACAAAAAACTATATGTCACACCTGTATTTGTGTTTGGGTACGTGTGATCTGAGTTTGGTCCGGTTCTATTAGAAAGCATTAGCTGAACTGCATTAGTTCGTATCCAGTCAAAGTTTGTTGTGTCCGATTTATCTTGTACCCAACTGCATAAATCAGCTTTCTCAAAATTACATGATTTCTTTGGTTCTTCATCTACAAAGTAAATCATAACAAGGGTGTACTTGATGTAATAACTGAGATACGGAAGCGTATTAGGTCCAAGCAAGTTTTTTTTAAGTTTGCTATTCTAATTAACTTGAAACGTGGCTTTATATTCTTAAAAGTAGAAAATTCCAATTTTTATCCTTGAATTTTTATCTTATATTTGGAATAAGCTAAGGAATTACAACTTAAATGTTGGAAGAATAAGAGATTAAAAAAGGAATACAAACTGGTAAAGTCCAGATTTAAAATAGAACTACAAATTTCAAAATTTGAATTTTCAACCTTTAAGTTATTTTTTTTTAATTTTTATACAATTGGATATTTCCATTTTTTAAAGTTAGAAAAACCCATCTTGATTACTTATAATGAACAGCATTATATTGACAAACAAATTTTAAAACTAAACAGGCCGATTAGAAACTTTAATTGTTAAAATCAAAGTTGGTTTTTAAGATAGAAAAGTTGAAATCATCAACTTAAAAGTTACCATTACCATCTTTACAAATATCAGGTGACGTTGATGCGCCTAATATGTACTGAGAAACTCATTGAACCAATACTTTGCGCATGCGTGAGAAGATAAAGGACGTTTTTCTACTGCATGCGCAAAATTTAACTAATTTTGGACCTATACCAGATTTTGTGCAGGAATTTTGTGAAATTTTGTGCGTTCTGTAGCATTGCTATTCAAAGTCCGGGATGAATTAAATGTCCGAGTCAGAAAAGCGTCGTCGTCAGTCATCCGATGGGCAGACACCAAAACCTCAGGCAAAGAAAGTGGCGAGTTCGACTGGGAATCCAGAAAACTCGGAATTAGATTTGACGGACCGGATGATTATCATTAGGAGGGCTATCGACAATTTACAGAAAGGTCAGTTACAGTTACAAAAGTCTTTGGATAGTAAATTGGATAAATTCCGAAATGAGTCTTTATCAAGTATTGACGAGAAACTCAATGCTATAAAAAGCGATATTGACCTTGAACTTGGCAGTCAACAAAAACAAATAGATGTCCTGTCAGAGTCTATCGACTCTATTCTGGGGCGACTAGATAAAGTTGAGAAAATAGAACGACCGGTCTTAGAACATAATTCAATCCATGGCCAATTGCCTGTGCAGGTATTACATCAAGCACAGATCCGCTAAATGACCCGGAAGTTACAATTATTGCGACCAATGTTGTACAAGAGGCAAATGAAAATGTTTTGGAAATCGCCAATGATCTGGTAAGATGTCTTCATGATTAAGTGAATGTAGTAGCAGCGGCTCGTTTAAAAAGTAGAAAATTTGGAAGGCCAGGAATAATTTAGATAAGTTTTTTTCAAATCTGGAAGAGAAAAAACACATTCTGCGGGAAAAACGGACACTCAGATTGATGGAAAAATACAAAAAGGTTTATCTTCGAGATAGCAAATTACATACCGAGAAAATCTTGGAATTAAATGCCCGCACGTTGTTAAACGAACTCCCAAATGGAAGACAGTACTGAATTACTGCTAGTGGTCGCATTGTCAAGAAAACGCAGACGGAAGAGAATGCACCGCATCACGTGCAGTACGACCTGGTGGATGAAGACTGAATTAGAAGCGGCCCGATCTATTGAACGTACAATTAAATTTAGTCACATCAGTGTAGGTGGGTGGACGGTTAACAACCATGATTTGAGAGTGCCCTTTATTGAACATATAAATGGGGACATAATAAGCATTAATGAAACTCATCTCAAAGATAATGAGAAATTGGACTTGAGTGATCAGAGATATGAATGTTTGGATACAATAGAAATTCTAAGCATATGAATCGTGCACCAAAACATTTGGCGGAGTAGGAATTTTGGTAAGGAAACAATATTACAGCATTTTGTGGTCCGTGTTAATGACAAGTCATGTGAAGGTATCATAGGGTTGGAATTTAAAAACAAGGAATCCGACATTCGTTTTGCTGTGTACTCGTGTTACCTTCCCCCGGAGAATGCTAATTAAGGACATGATGCAGAAAAGTTTTTCCGCATATTTTGGCGCAGATTTATCTGAATTATGACATGGATGCCATATTTGTTCTCGGAGATTTAAATTCACGAACTGGACATTCCAAAGATTTTAGTTGTGAATTCGACAATATCCACGACAGATGTGTAATTGATAATGTTTGCAACAAACATGGAGACTCATTCATGGAATGATAGTAAATGTTGTGTTTTAAATGGACGATTTGGAGAAAAATCAAACCGATTCACTTCCATCTCAACCAGAGGGAAAGCGATCGTCGATTATGCATGCATGCATACCTCATGATGTTTTACCACATTGTTCGGAATTCCAAATAGTGTCATGCGGGAGTATCATAGAAGAAAAAGGCATACAACCCGCTCTAGGAACTAAATGTAATTGTCCAGATCATGCATTTTTGGTATTTGACTATCAGTACAGGTTCGAAGCAAAGGATATACGTAAACAAATGCATCCTACGGATAAACTTCCTGAGAACAATTTGAGTGATAAGTCACGGAAACATTTTCAATTAAAAAGCACCCCCCTGACTTTATGTGTTCAGACCTCGTGAAAGCTTCCTTACTAGAATTGATTAGAAATATTGAACTTTGCAGAGAAACACAGAAGGAAATTGATGATATCTATTCAAAATTTTGTGAAATAACAGTCAAAGAAATGGAGAAGAAAATACAGCACAAAGACTAAAGACTGCTCAAAACGAACTCGGAAAAAAATTGCGACAAACTGAACCTTATTGGAATGAAGAACTTACTAGTTTATGGAAAGATATGCACAATAAAGAAAAGAATTTTCTGAAGGAAAAAGATCATAACCGGAAACGAAAAGCTAAGGTGGACTTTTCTTCATCACGAAAAGGATTTGACAAACAGTTACGGTAAATGGGAGAAAGATATTTCAAATCTATACGCTCAAAGTGGTTCGAATTTTGATAATTCGTTTTATAACACTGCGTTACAACATAAGCAAATGCTAGAAGATATTATGATTGACCTTCTCTATGTACCAAACATGTATTTAAACGAAAATATTTCACGTGAGGAAGTCGCACAGGTTGTTTTGCATTCCAAGGACGGGGAAGCTGTGGGAATAGATCTACTCTATAATGAAGTCATGAAAAACAATGATATCATTTCGGTGTTACACAAATTATTTCAATTGTGCTTTGAAATCGGTAAAGTTCCTTCTATATGGAGATTATACACCCTATTCCAAAAAGTTCACAGCAGATCAACGAATCCCTCTGAACTTTCGTGGGATAAGTTTGCCCCCAGTAGTAGCCAAATTCTAGAGTTCTATTTTAAACAATAAACTACAAACACATCTGGAAGATAATTCCATTTTAGTTGACGAGCAAAATGGTTACCGTAAAGAAAGATCATGTGTTTGTATTGAACAGTATAATTCAGAACCGAAAGTCAACATTCGCAACGTTTATAGATTTCCAAAGAGCATTTGATCTGGTGGACAGACAACTATTACAAAATAAGCTTATGCTCAATGGAATTGATGGTGATATATATAATGCCATTTATAGCCTTTACCTATTGACTGAATCTTGTGTGCGTTTGAATAATTTTCATACAAGTTGGTTCACTAGTCAAAACGGGGTTCGCCGGGTAGATACTTTATCACCTACACTGTTCTTAATTTTTATTAACAACTTAACGGTGAATATCAAGGAAACAAATATAGGAATAACAATTATTGATGAGAAAATTTCTTTACATTTGTACGCCGATGATATCGTATTATTAACAATAAACGAGGATGATATGCAAGTTTTACTGGACCTATTTTATAATTGGTGCATAAAGTGGCGGTTACCTGTAATTGTTAATAACGAAAAGTCAAATGTTGTGCATTTTCGTAAAGGGCGTCAACCTCGCACTAAGTTTGAATTCAGGATAGGAAGTGAGAAATTACAGATCGTTCTTTAATATAAATATCTTGGAATTATTTTTCATGAGAAGCAGTCCTCTTTATATGTTGCAGCAGAAACTCTAGCGATGGCCGGAGGCAGGGCACCGGGTGGAGTGATTTTGAGAATACACTCTTATGAGGATCTTAGATTCAGAACATACGAAAACCTTTATAATTCTTGTGTAGTGCCAGTTCTTGAATATTGTTCGGGAGTATGGGATTATAATGTTTTTCACAAAACTGATATGGTGCAAAATCGTGCGATTCGTTATTTTCTGGGGCTTCACCGATTTACCCCTTTATTTACCCTTAACAGCGAAGATGGGTGAATACCCTTTACACAGCGACGTTGGCTGAATATATTTCGCCTTTGGAACCAAATTCCTCACTTGGAAGATGATAGATTAACAAAAAAGTTTTCATTTGGGATTATAATATGCAGGTTGTGTGGTGTTCACAGGTCAAAAATATTTTTGACAGTCTCAACAGTAGCAGTCTTTTTCAAAACTAACAAAGAGTAGATACGGAATATATGTACCAAAAACTTCGTCAATATGCTGAAAATGAATGGAAAGTGAAAATACAATCATCACCAAAAATAAGGACATATATTTCGTTCAAAGTCAATTGTGAAATCGAACCGTATGGTGCATCTAATATTTCAAAAAAGAACGGCCAACCTTGGCACAGTTCAGATGTTGAGTGCTTCCCTTACGCATTGAAACTGGTCGATAGAAAAATGAACCCCTAAGTGAAAGAAAGTGTGTTTTCTGTTCTAGTTCCTCTTTTGAAGATGAAAAACATTTCTTATTAGTCTGTCAATTGTATAATAATGTTAGGAAAAAATATTTTGATAGTGTGTACAAGGAGCACCCAAATAGTCATGATGATGATCTCTCTCTCTCTCTCTCTCTCTCTCTCTCTCTCAGAGTATGATGCCAAACATATTTAATCATATATAGTCTTAGTGTTGTGGTTGAATGTGGACGTTGATGTTTTATTAAAATGGAATACATTTCCCATTGGTCTTCTAGTGTAGACTTGTATTAGAGACCATTTCAAGAAAAGTTATTTTATTAATTATGGAATCAAATGAGAAAAAAAATGACATTAAGTATTTTTTTAAAGGTCCCTTTTTGCTAACATGGGTCTACTGCGATTTATGTATATTGCCATAAAAGCTACGGTAGACATGGATTGATCAACAGATGACAGATGATCTTTTACGTTTCCAAAAGATAGTTAATTCAGTACATTTCACTCACATAAATCTCTTTTGATAACGCGATTCTTCGTAACCTAACAACGGGCGAAATTGATTACGTTTAATTAATGTGTTTAATAGGTAACACTGCACTCATCACTGAGGTTGAATCAAAAAGTCGGATCAGTTACATTCAGAAAAAAACAAAGTGTTTAAATTAATCCTATTTCACCAAATTTGGAAAAATATGGAAGAAGTTTAAGATATATGCTGTATTACAAATTAACTATTGACTTTTTGTGCGCCTGGATCGATAGATCCGGGGCGAATATTATTTTTGTCCTGTCTGTCTGTCTTTCTGTCTGTTTGTCTGCAAACTTAAACCTTTGCCATAACTTTTGAACCATGAAAGATAGAGACTTCATATTTGGTATGCTTACTTCATTAGTAAAGCTCTTTTAAGTGACACCAAGGTCAGTGACCTTGCCTGTGACCTATATGCTAAAAAAGCTTTTTTCTGCAACCTTCAACCTTCGCCGTAACTTTTGAACCATGAAAGATAGAGACTTCATAATTGGTATGCATACTCCACTAATGAAGCTCTATCAAAGGATTCCAATATCAATGACCTTGAGACCTTGACTGTGACCTATATGCTAAAAAATAGCTCTTTTGTCCTCAGACTTTAACCTTCGCTTTAACTTTTGAACCATGAAAGATGAAGAATTCATATTTAGTATGAATACTTCACTCATTAAGCTCTTTCAAATGACACCAAGATCATTGACCATGTGACCTTGACTGTTACCTATATGCTAAAAATATCTTTTTTGAACCTAGACCATAACTTTTGAACCATGAAAGATAGGGACTTCATATTACGTATGCAGACTCCACTAATGAAGTTCTTTCAAATGTTACCAAGGTCAGTGACCTTGTGACCTTGACCTATATGCTAAAAATAGCTTTTTTCGAACTTTGTGCCGCTGGGCGCATTGTAATTTCACAAACACATCTTGTTTTCAATATATACTAATTTTTTTTAAAGTAGAACCGTCTTTGCATTATTTGATTTACCATTGAAAGATTATATACGGAAAACATATGCGGTATTTGTTTGTGCGCTGATCGTTGTAGAGTGCAACTTCCTGAAATGACCTCACTTTAAGTTCTACAATTGAAATATATGCATTGTGATACTTCACCACTCCTCCTAGATTTATATCATGTTAAAAAGTACTATTTACAACAAATTTAAAGCCAGATTTGCAGGGAAAATCCATGTCTGCCTTTCCTGTTTGTAATAATTAAAAGGGTTTTATTTTCTTTAAATTTTGGTCATTTCTGTTTTACCATAACCTTTCATGTAAAAAAAAAATTAAGTGAAGTTGCGAAATAAATAAGGTTTGAAATTTCTGTTGAAAACTATCATACCAATGCACACAGGCGTTGGAAAAATCCATTCTCCATTTCTACAGTATGACACTTCTGTCCCATGAAGTTTGAATCTTTTCTTACAGAAAAACCTGACAAGACGACCTCTGCTTCTAATACGAGCATAACCATTATTAATTGTTGGCATGGTGCAATTATTTTTCTTATCTGTGTAACAAAAATAATGAGTCGGTAAGAATATTTCAAATCCATGTGCTATCGTACTGTACATATTATTCAATGTATATAAGAAATAAAAACGAATTATTTTTCAAATTAAATGACATTAATTGAGAGAAAAATTTTAGACACATCTTCGAAAATACAAAGACAAGTATAGTATAAACAAACCTTCTCCTCTAATGTCGGTTACAAGACAAATGGTCTGCAAAATTCCAACGAAAGTGAGTTTCATATTTGTACTGCAGATTAAAACTTCAGTGAAAGTTTACAGAGCAAGTGATAGTAAAAAGCCTAAAGAATTCTTTAAGTAGTTAGTAGGTTCTGATGTTACATGTAAGTACATAGACTCGGATTACACCAGGAACAGAACCATCGACTTTAAAGTTATGTTGATAAGACTAAATTTTAAGTTTTACTTAAAGGTGCATGGACACAGATTTATAGTTAATATTTTCTGTATAACATTACGACATGTATATTTTTATAGCATTTCAAGCAAAAATAAATTAAATATTTTTAATGTTTCTCATAAATACATAACAAGATTGCCACTTTTCCTAAGTATTAAGGTAGGATTCTTCTCATATTTCTAATATTTAAAAATTAATGAAATTTTCACAGAATCAAGAAGACAATATCAGTAAGTGATAGTATCAGTGAAATTAAATTTGACCGTTTTATATTAGAGGCAAGGTCAGGTCAAGGTCATTATCTTTTTCCTTGACATTAAGAATAAAAAATAACTGCTGCCAATCATGTGATACCTACTCCTATTTCAAAAGTTTAATGATTGTTCTTTTTGCATAAAAACATATTACTACATTGGGTCTATAGCATGATATTACCAAATTTACAAAAATAATTTAACTTAACTGTATATTGGCTAATCCGAATTTTCTCTATTTCTTAATTTTTTAAGGATATATTAGTTATTTTCATATGCTTCCTATATTTAACTTTTTCTTATTTTCACATATAAAAAAGTAGTCTTTTAAATGTGCAAAATGATACAAAAACAAAAAGTTTTGATCGTGTACTAAGAGAGAAAAAATAGATTTTATGGATTTTTGGCTCAAATCTGCACTTTGGTAGGAAGCGTTTAAAAGCTAATAAAGTTCTAGTTTGTTTGAAAAATCATATTTATTTGATATATTTTGAAAGCTTAGTCCCTCATTATTAATCTAACTTAATTTGAAAATTTCTCCAAGTCTTCGATTATGTAAAAATTATACCTATATTCATTGTTCTATTATAATTTTGAGAGGCAAAAGAGAAGATATTTTCATACGCCACCATTCCGCCAAAAATATAGTCCCTGCTAGTTTTCAAACGCAGTTTATCATTTCTATTTAAAGTTGTACAATTGTGATGAGGAAAGAAAAATACATGTATGGTCTTTTAAATTCCTTACACCTCAATATATAAGACATATAAGCAATTATACCCTGAATGTTTCATCTAGTCAGAAACCAGAGAAGAATCCTACCTTAAGAACAAAGTTAAAATTTGTGAAAGTGCAAGGATGTGTCAATCAAACCCGCCAAAAAATTGAAGTTTTAATAACTTTTGAATGGAATAAGATTTTTAAGATATTTTTGTGTGAAATGCTATTAAAATATATAAGTCGTAATATTATACAGAAAATATTAACTTCAAGTCTGTGTCCATGCACCTTTAAGTTTAATTATTCTCTACTTTTACTTTGAACAAAGTGATGATCAAAATTTGATTTTCATTAATAAATCATTAAGTTTTTGGAATTCCGGAATTTATTTTTCCTAGTTTGCTGCTAATTTAATAAAACATATGGAGATAGCGAACAGTATTCAAGATCAAAAGTCTATAAAACAATACAAAACAGGAGCAGAACAAACACGGACCTCCAAAACATCAAAGGTGAGATCAGGTGCCATGGAAGAAGAAGCCTCCCCTGCCGACCGGTCACACTCGCCGCGTGCTCCTTGTCATGATCGGAAAATAACGGAAAAATCCGTCATAAATTCAGTGTATAAATGAATGACTAACAATTAGTATGAAAAATGTGAGTCAGGATTGGACTCAAAGATAAATTGTATTTGCTGACAAGGTCATTGTATCGACCACAGAATATTGCAAACTGATGACTTCAAAAGAGACTGCTGATATTCTTGTTTCATCAACTTGTTTGTCAATAATTAATCTCGATTTAGAAATTGATCATATGTAGCGCATACTCTTGCTTATCGAATTAACTGAGATATATCCGTATGTAGGTGATGAAGGTATATTGCTGCATATTAAGTAAGGGAAGGTGACGATAGAATAGTTAAAGTCACACGTTTATCATATACATGTAGCTTGGTTGTTAGATTACCATTAACGTCTTTTTCAAGTAAAACATCCAGTATGAAACAAATGTGTCAGACTCTGTGAGGGATGTCAAAGATGGGATTTAAATGCTTCGAAGGGTATCACAGCTATGATCACATATACGATGGAGATTGTTCCTTTATATTGGAATAAATCTTCTGAATGCTTCTAGTTCATGTTTTCTGCCCACTTGTCATTGAAAATATGTACTGTTAAAACGATTTCTGAGATTGATCATTTTGTTGTCTTCATCTTATAAATATAATAAAAACATAATTATATTCTATGTAAAAAAAAAATTAAAAATAAATCGTAGTAGCATTTAAATCCCTTTCAATCCGGAACGTTTGATTTCAATTTGTCTGATTTGTACAAAGATTTTTGATACTTTTAAAGTAATAAATTTTATTACCTATCTAAGAATGTGACTTTGTGTATTTGAGATACATACAGTAAATCAATTTTGCAAGAAATAATTTTTCAATTCACAATGAAAAATAAAAATCATCCCCGATATGACAATATTAAATAAGAGGCTCACTTAGTAGCATGTAATAACTTTCGAACAATTCAATTGATTCTTGTATTAAAGGGGCTCTCTATGACGTCACAGCATGGTGTACTTCCGTTGAAAAGCCATTTTGGTCCCAAATGATCTGATTTAAATTCATTTAATACCGATAAATTATCGAGTATAACACAAGATGCGATATTTTGGAAGAAGCAGCCTTATTCAAGATAACTGCATGTATGTACTTTGTTTGTTTTATTTATTGCCCAGGAGCAGAAACGATTTTCAAAGAAATAATGCATTTTCACTATATAATATATATAACCCGTCCCTTGCACTAGAACTCCTGATCCTGGGGCCATGAAATTTGCAATTTTGGTAAAGGATTCAACGCTGATTACAATCATGCAAATTGTTTGACTGTTTGATGTCCATGAGTAAAGAAGATTTTAAAAGATTGCATTATTTTCAGTAGATTTTTAGTAGACTTGGCCCCACCCCTCAAACCCCAGGGGGCAGGGACCATGGAATTCACAAGTTTTGTTTCCCTTTACCCATAAATGCTTTATGGAAAAAATGGTTGAAATTGGTTGAGCGGTTGCAGTGAGGTATCTGAAAATTTTCAAATGTTAATGCACGACAACGGTGGACGACGATGGACGAAAAGGGATAGCAATAGGTTACTTGATTTTACTGAGGTGACCTTGAAAGGAGTCAACTTTAATTTCAGATTATCATGATCGAACATCAAAATCAGAAGAGATAAACTTTCCTAAAACAGAGTATAAGGTTTACAAACTTAAGTCATGTATGTTGAGTAAAGGTTTCTTTGGAACAGACACCATATTTCTATATATTAAAAGTAGTTTGACTTCTGATTTTTGACCTTGAAATTTATAATCTGTAGGAAAAATTTATTCCTCTACAATAGTCATTTAATTCCAGTGAAATAGTGCAATTAATTAAGAAACTATAATATGATTTCTATTAAGCAAAACAAATTGTTTAGTCATATCATTTCTTTTACTTGAAGTAAATGAACTCTCTGAGGTAACTCTGTTTCTATTCAATTATATAAGAATTAATTATATAAGAAATAAATTACAAAATTTTAACAGTATTTGGTATTTTAACTAAATTTATTAAAAAATAGCAAAATTCTTTGTTATAATCAAAGGAAGTTCAATACTATGAAACACAAACATATGAAAAGATACTAGTATTTGATTATACACTGTTTCACATCTGTGTTATTCAAATAAATTTCAAGTATGATAAAAATAGGAAAATCATTTCAAACCACTAGTCCATTGATTATAGAAGTATATATAAAATCTATTTAAGCATATATTTTCAGCAAAATATTCAAATTAAAACAAGTCATCATTCAAAGCAAGCAATTCTACCTTATTATCAATTAAATGCCGTTTGGTTTGACAATTATTTCAAGAAATTTTAAGTCATTTCTTCCACCGAATATATCTGTTTATTAAGGACAGATGATAAAAACAAAAAATGGATGCCTGAATTAGTATATATTTTTTGGCTTAATTTCATTGCAAATAACAAATTTCTAGAATATAAAGAAATTGTAAACCTTCTCTGATGTTCATAAGTCTGTCCTTCTGAACCCATCCTTATCAACCTATACAATTTTTTTCGCTTCAAATCCCATTTTTTTGTGAAATTTTAGATAAAAAATAAAAAACTACGCGGTGAAACTTATTCATTTTAAACATTTAAACATGACCCAAGTTGTTTTATTCAAATTTTTTTTACATAAGTTTGTTTGTATCATCTGTCCTTAAGACAGCGAAAAAAACTTGATTGTTTGATATAATATTTGGTTAAGTAAATTTCAATCAGATAAAAATCATTATACACAACAAAACGAAAATTAGATTCAAAGTAAGATTTTCCCCGTCTTTTCCAGTTGACATCAAACTCTCCGATACTCATCGTTATCCGGTAAATCAGTATTGCTGCAACGAAATGTATATTAAACGGAAAAAAAGTATACGTTTTAAACGAGAGTGAAAAAAAAAATTAAGTGCATTTTTTTATACACATAAGTGCCATTTGAAGATCAGAATTATTTTCTTTTTTTTTTTAAATCAACTCCAATCGTTATATATCTTTTATTTTGTTATTTTACTTGGTAAACTTTATTTTGTTTTGTTTCGCTTATGTTAAAAAAACAACTTACGTTTGTAGCACTGTACTTTACGTTAGGTCGCCTGATATGAAACTATGACAAAATAAAAGTCAACTTAAATGGATACACAAGTCCTTACATATTTATCTACAAGCAAAGAAAATATTCCTTCGCTGAATACGAAAATAGAAAACAAAACTTAGACAATAAATTTCTTACTTGCTCGTCAGGTTGGAGTTTCACATAGATGGAATCCAAAGTGTAATTCGGATTACTGCAACCTGTATTTTAAAATGAAAACATTTCAAACCAACAGAAAAGAAAATTCAAACCCATGTCGATAATAACCCAGTAGTTATGACAAATCCGACCTAAAGCCAATGCCCTTAGCCTATGACAATTTCAATTTCTTGGTCTGCAACCTCCTTATTCACGTTGTTTCCTGTGTACATGGAGTGATAAAAAGTTCGCTAACTAATTGAATATCTTACATAAAACAATATTTTAAAAAAATAAGGTTTCAGTGGATTTTATTGTATAATGTAGTCCTATCTGACTTAAGAAGGAACAGGACCTTTCGGTGAAAAATTTCTGTCAGTGAATTTTTTTCGTATTTTTAATATTACTAATTAAATATGTACTTAACATTTTAAAACGGTCCTGTCATGGGATTTCTTGACTTATTTAAAAGATATCGCCCAGCAAATACCGCCCTGTTTAGAGTTTGTATGGAGTTTAGATACTTCATGTTTACGGGCCCATAACGGAGTCCATAATGCGAATTTTTACGCACAAACGATACATATGATAGATAACACTATGTATTCAAATATTTCAGAATATTCATAGTGTTTAAATTATCTGAAAGCAATTGTTTTAATTATATATAGTATTTGGGTGGGATAATTTCTGCATTTTTCAAGGCAGCTTCAACGACAAAAACCTCATTTGGAAAACATTCTGTCAATAAATATTTCTAAATTTACGATTGAATGTCAGTCCTTATAGTAATTATTTACTGCATAAATATCACAGGGTGAAGCTTACCTCAATATTGCACAGGACATCGTTCAATTAGACGTAAGCATGATAAAAACGCTTCACATTCGTATTTTGCGAGTGCGGGAAATCAATTGTGACGTCACACGAAAACATAAACATTCAAAATTATCTAAATAGAGAGAATCTCTGCCACTAAACACGAAAAAATACTAATTTAAAAAAATCTGCTTCAGAAATTTATCACGAAACATTGACTGTGACCTGTTTATTATGAAATAAAACTGATCTAGACAGGTGTATGTACTTGAACTCGCTGCACTGAGAATTCAAACACTACCTCTATGACGTCACTGACGTCAGACTGCAGGGTAAAGAGAAACAAATGTGTGGATTGGGCAACTTCACAATATCTAAATGATGGCAAGATCTTTAAAAATTTTATTAATAATAATTTCTAAAATTAAATGTTTAAAAAACAATTTTAGAATTTAGATTAAAATTACACAAGAACTGTTGATTTTAACAACATTTAACATGTATATCATCACCGATTATTACGTAATATGTCTTTATAATCATGTGACATGTGTCCTGTCTCCCCATGTAAATCTGCCATCGTTCTGTCCATGCGAAAATCACGTCATCCAGCCTAGTTTCACTCGGCAACAGAATAAACATTATTTTTAATGATCTCCCTTACGTCACTAAAACAATTAGTCAAACTAATGATTATACTCCGTGAAACTCTTTTGTCTTCATACACCTTAAACAAATTATTATATGAAACTTCAAAGAAATTTCAAAGTTAAACATTAAACTTTACAGCCATTCGTTGCTCAGTAGAGCAGAGATGAGTAGTGTCAATCATTTTTTGGTCACAAGTCACCTACATATTGATGTCATTTTCACAATGTGATAATTTTTTACAATCATGAAGAGAAAATTACGTATTTTGTGCTATTTTTAGAACATGTGTATCACTATAAGTGTATCAGATATTTATCTGATCTGAATTGTGATCTTAAGCTTGTACATATAAAGATTTGATCACCCCTAGTATCTTATTTTACACTGACATTTTATTCTTTAAAGCTATAGTACACACCTTCATGATCACCGTTTAAACAGACATAATTTAAACCTAGTCGAAATTACGGATTTGGTTTGTTGAAAAAAATCCTTAATCTCCGATTTTTTATGTTTGGCACAAAAGATTTAAATTCTAACAAGACTGGATTTAACCGAATGAAAATAACTTCAGACTCTATTGATCTACCTTTTCATCGTACACCAATTAAAAAAACAACAATATTAGTTTTTATGCTAAACTCACGTGAAAAATTAATTTTTATTCCCTGCTATACAGATCAAGGAAACCAATTTTGCTAGTGACTAAGAAGATTTCCAGTAATGAAACCTTTAACAGTTCAACTCTCACGAGTAGCAAATCAGAAATTAAAATTGTTACTGATCAAATCGCCTTCGTTTATGAACAAGGAAATGTATGGAGATAATGTACTGTATTCAAGCTCAAAGGTCCATCAAACAATACAAAATTGGAGCCGAGCAAACATGGACCTACAAAACACCAGGTCTGGGATTAGGTGCCATTGAGGAGTGTGCATTCCATGCCAAACGGTCACACCCCTTGTCCTCTTTGTCATGATCGAGAAATAACGGAAAAATCTGTAGACATTTCAGTGTGTAAATGATGGTCCAACGATTTATATGGAAAACGTTAGTCAGCATTTGACTTAATAATAAATTGTATTTGTTGATAAAGCTATTTGTCGACCATAAAACTTATAAAATGATGACTTTAAACGACGAGACTGCTGATATCTTTGCTTCAACAACTTGTTTGTCAGTAATATACGTCTTTATAGAAACTTCCCTTGCGTATCGAATCAACTGAGAGATATAAATTTCGTATTCACGTGATAAAGGTACATGTACACTGATGCATAAGTTAGAGAAGTTGAACAACACTATATATCAATTTAATTCTGCAAACATCGTTAGATATTGTAATTCTTTCTTAAAAGACAAAGAAAATACACTTTCAATTCTTCATTAATGCACTTTCTACTCACCCTCAGTGGTGTCCCTAGAAAAATCAAGTTCTTGGTATTCGTTTTGATACTTGCTTCTGGAATTAATTGAATCATAGTCCCTGGAAGGTTTGATATGTTCATCATTCCCTTTTAAGACATCCATCCGGTTTGATCTGTAGGCATCACTTTATTAAACAAACAGTAGACCACTTAAGAATAGATTTAATTTAAACAATATTTTATCATAAACATAAAATTGGACAGCAGGCACAACCTATAAAAGTCCTCTCCATATAATGTAAGAACTTAATACTTAATGAAAAAAAAATGTGTTAAATTAAACAAGATAAAGAGCATTGTCATAAAATTTCTATTTAAAAATCTTGATTATAAATGAAAAGTTTCAACCGGCAACTCTATAGTTTTGTAGCTCACGTTTTATTTCGCACTACCAAATCGAATTATACATGAGGTAGCTATTAGGCATCCCGAATTCCTGAACATCAAGAATAGTGAAATAACTGGGAAATCTATCAAATTGTTACAATTTCGTCGTGAAAAAAAATGCGCCGGTGTACTGAACAAAGAATATTCGTTAATTCATTTCTTGAATTTCTAATGAAAAACGTTAACATTTTGAATAAAATGCAGTCTTTACAAGCACCTGAAAGTAAAGAAATATTGAATATTAAACATGGTGGTCGCATAAAAAAAATGTTAATATTTTTCAATATTGACTCACTTTGAAATATTTGAATTGTATGTTTCCAAGTGTTTTGCATTAATTCACACAAATCGAAAAAAAACCTCCCATGTGGTTATAAAACTACACCGTCACCACGAAGGTGTTTATCTGTCTTTTCCAAAGTTTTAAGTGATTTCTTGAGTCGTCAAAACGACTGGCTACCTATAAACTTCTGTTCGTCAAGATATTAACAAAATGGTTTTGCATTTTAAACTAGGTCTTTGATGAGACTGTAGCTCTACTGGTCTGTACGTATAACAAAGGAAATGTAGCACTTGGAGTTTTAACTTTGCAACAGACAACAATAAATAGAATTATGTATTTTAGTGTAATCTACTTTTGTGTCAAGTTATATTAACTTCAGACAAAAACTGTTGGAGGAGTAGTGTTTTTAAGGAATTTCACAGAAATTTCTATTTTGCGTACCCATAGCAACACCGTTCATCCAAATCCAAAATCGATGCATTAAATTATGTATCTTAATGTAGTCTACTAGTGTGCAAAGTTATATTGAAATCAGACAAAAACTGTTGGAGGAGTAGTGTTTTGAAGGATTTTCACAGAAATTTCTATTTTTAGTAACCATGGTAACACCGTTCATCGAAATCAAAAACCGATGCACTAAATTATGTATCTTAGTGTAGTCTACTAGTATGCCAAGTTATATTAAAATCAGACAAACACTGTCGGAGGAGTAGTGTTTTAAAGGAAGTTCACAGAAATTTCTATTTTTAGTACACATGTAACAATGGCAACACCGTTCATTGAAATCAAAATCCGATGCACTAAATAATGTATATTAGTGTAGTCTTCTTGTGTGCCAAGTTATATTGAAATCAGAAGACCAAAACCGTAGGAGGTGTAGCGTTTTAAAGAAATTTTATAGAAATTTCCATTTTTAGTGACACAGTGACATTTTGCAAAATTTGACACGATTTCTTTATCTCTTTACTTGTTTTAAAATATTTTGTTTAAACATATATTATAAAAGAAGTGGAAAACAATAAGATCTTTCATTCGATATAAAAAATGGGGTTAGCCCTTCAAATTATGGGCTTAGAGGGGCCAAGAGTCTTTCATCTTTAACTCTTTAATAATCAATATTTTGTCATACATTACTGAAGCAAAGATGTTCATCATAAAAATTTGCAACAATATATTATAACAATTAGATCATATGTAACGTAATTAGGGGGTCACAATGGGCAAGAATGCTAAATTTTTTACGCTTTATATCTTGAAAAGGGGGAATACTTTGATTAGCAATATTAAACAAAAGATGGTCAGATAAATGTTCTAAACAATATGCATACTTTAAATTTTTGTAAAACGGCTCCATTACGGACTTATTTGGGTGACCCCTAAATATTTCCATTCAGCATATCTCCACAACGAAAAGTAATCGAAATCAAAAACCGATGGACTAATTTATGTATCTTAGTGAAGTCTACTTGTGTGCCAAGTTATATTGAAATCAGACCAAAACCGTAGAAGGAGTATCATTTGAAAAATTGTTTAAAGACAGACAGAAAGACAGACGGACGGACGACGGATGCATTACTATCGCATAAGCTCTTCTGGTCTGACCAGTAGAGCTAAAGATGGACTTAAGTTGTAGAACACATATTTGTGAAAAGTCTTTCTCATTAATTTCATGAATACCTATTAATCATGCTTAGTTATGAAAGAAAAATAATGATATTGAAATTCAACATCAATATAAGTAGTTTCACAGTGAAATATATGGAGATAACATTACGCAAATGAACTATGTTATTTGACTTAGGACTGAAGTCTTTAATTACAGTCATTACTACCGACCGATGATTGTTTGTATTGTTGAAAATTCGTTTTATTTTCATTGCTTTATTTAGCGTTTGTGTCATCTCAAAAGCGTTTGAGAGTACGCCCTATATTTTTACACGTAACTTTAATTTGGCGAATATGGGGTTGACTTCCTGCCTTGAACAGGCTGATATAAGCCAGCAATTGCTCTTTGAGTGATAAGCCCGGCTAAAAATAGGTCTGCTTGCAATAGAGGGGGGGGGGTAATACCCATGGGAATTCAAATAGATAGTAGGAGGACCTGGTCTTCAAGCAACATTCAGATATAAATATTGTTGAATTATCACTTACTTTTGAATTTCCTTCTTCTCAGTCTTCTTTTGATATCGGACACAAATAAATGTCAGAACGATGACCGTAATGAATAAAGGTATGCTTACTCCTAGGATGACAATGTATGTTGAAATGCCTAAAGAAGAAAAGTTTTTTTTAAATATTTTGCAAATTATATGATATTAACATACCAAACACTCAAGTATATTACTGAAAATCATTTTTTAGTACATGTACAATTTGTCCTTTTCCATTTACCTGACAAATCAGACTTTTCTTTTCTGAAAATACAAAAAAACATCAAACAATATATGTGAATTTTTCTCATAATAAATATTAATGCAGAACAATGAACTAATCGCTAATCAAAATTTATTAAAGAGTTTATTCTACTTACATACAAGTTGCTTCACCAGCTAGATCGTCGCATCTTTCTCCAGAGTTACAGGCATTAAGAATGTTCAACAAAACACACGGCGATGTCGCAATTAAAGTTGTTATAGCTATAAAGTAACAATATTTTTTCTATAAAGGGGAAAATTTTATCTATAATTACCAATGTATTATACAAGTTTCACAATTAAATGGAGGATACAGATCAATTCAATAATTAGGTGGTGATTTTATTCTTAACATCCTGATACTTAGAATAACATTTTTTCATTCATTCTAGAAAAAGTTCATCAATGAAAAACATACAAAAATGGTAGTATGTTTTCTTAAAAGAAAGTCATGAAACTTCATCACATCAGGTTTTTTTTAGATATAAGATTCACTTACTGGCCTTCGAAGTCCCATTTTCGTGCTTTATTGTTATTTCTTTAATGCCTGTTTCTTGTCCCAAGATATTCATCTTTCGGTTGCCAGTTAACAGATTAATCATGGTGTTACTCACGCCTTTTTCTAGATCATTTGTTTCAGTTACGACCCCAATAACTTCATGATCCACAATGAGACTCCCAAAGCTATAATTTATAAAATCAGGGGAGAAATTACATCAAAATGAATGAAATTCATTGAAACAGTACTATATAAAGATATACCGGAATGAACATTACTTTAGCATCATCTTACCGAATTGAAAGTACAACTACTGCAGTAAATCCATGAATCTTTTCTTTTCTGTAGAATTCCTCCAGCTATTTTGTTCATGGCAAAAATCAAAGCAATAGACAACTCACAATTAATATATACACCTAAGAATATAATTGATACAAACTTTAAGAAAAAAAATCTCTAAATTTTAAGTCATGTGTATTGCAGGAAAATGAATAACTATAACCGGATAGTCAAATAATGACAAAAAATGGGATTTGAAGTGAAAAAATTCAAAGATTTATAAGAATGATTACAGAAAGGTGAGAAAATCATAGAAAGTTAACATTTAAAAATATTTTTTTAAATACTGGTATACTATTCTAATCATTTGAAATCAAAATAATCGAAATCCAATAAAATTGAAGTTCCATTCCTCTACCGATTGTATCCTTGTTTTTTATTAGTAATATGTTAATTATACCGATGTTTGAATCTTATTAAGCCAGTCCTGGCTATTTTTCAAGAAGTCTTCTCTAGTCTTATTGATGTCAAATTTGACTTCAGCTTTCACTTTTACTTCCGTTTTATCTAAAAACAGAAACCATATTTGAAGATATTTCAGAAACACTAGACTGAAATAAGATATTGTTCTACCTTTCAGATGTGAACCATATTGTGACTTTTGATATTTTTATAAGAAACAAGCAAGTTTATTATTTTTGGGTTCATTGGATACTTAAAATCTAGTTACATACTAAAGCCACGAAAGCGATATTATTCAAGGCTAGATATTTACATGTAAAGTAAACGTATCAAATGTTGCTTAAATGACGAGGGAAGTGTAATTTAATTATAATTCTTACTTATCTTTTGTGGTCTTTTTGGTTCTGCAAACGAGAAAGAAAACTAACTTATACCCGAATTTGAGAACATTAATATTCCAGTAAACTTCTAATCTGATAATAATGGAATACCTACGGATACAATCAGAAAGATTTTGTCCACCAAAACGACATTCACAGTGAAAAGAACCCGGAGTATTCACGCAGGTTTGATAAAGTTCTGTACTGCAGATCTGATTTTTTCCCTGACACTCATCCACATCCTCTGAACAGTCTGACCCGGTCCACCCCTTTTTACATCGACATTTCCCGTCGATAGCATCACATTCATCAGTTTTGTTTGGAACACACGAACATTTGTCGAAACATTGAACCCCAAAGGTAAAATTTTGACAGCCTTGGGAGAAGCAATTGTACAATTTTATTAGGTTGAACAAAAGACAAAATTACATGAACAAGAATTTAAAATATGAATCAGTGATAAATTATTGCCTTTTTAACCTGTTGACCTTTTAGTTTATCATTTCAGAAAAGAGTTGGTATGACTAATTTTACAGATTAATAACTAACACAGTAAAATAATTATTGCAGAAGAATTTGGTAATTTTGCAACGGTATAAATAACAAGTAAAACTTTTATTTTTCGAGAAATTTAGCCGTCGTTAGCCACAGACTTCATTAGTAAACCTCCATATGCCCATGATCAGACCGTATTATTCTTGAGCATACCATGTCATTTTTTAAAAGTTTTTCATTAGCATTTTTTTGACTTTGGCAAAAATATATACCCCGAATCTTCGATTATGGGAGCATACTTAAAGGTCAAAGGTCGAATTTGGTTATACCGGAAGAAAGGTCTTGTCACAAGAAATAAACATATGAAATATGAAATCCATGACCCCACCCACTTAAAAGAGGTAAAGCCACGAACCATCATATTTGGCCCTATGTTTTTCACAAAAATAATGTGTCATTTTAAAAAGTTGCTTTTGATTTAACAGGACATAATTACAGTATTTAGACACTTTTAAATCAAAGCAAACACTAGCTAGCTATTTATCTCATTATTCACAACTTCTTAACAGTCCTTTGATAAAATTTCCCCAAATTCTTAGGATTTAGCGGTCCAGATTTTTCCAGATTGTCTGCGTTTATCAAACAGTACTTTATTTCTTACATGCTGTAAAATTTAACTATTTTCGGTACTGAAGAAAAACTCTCATTGAATATCGTGCAATTTAAAAATAACTTCTTTATTAAAATCTGGTGTGTAATGTCACTTCTGTACTCTTTTTCCCCCTCTCCGATGTATATCACCAAATCCAACACAATTTTATTGCATCTCCGTGCGCCGACTACGCCTTTGACGACGTCATTTTCATCAAACTCAATTTCAACGATACTATAAAAATCATGACACCAATCGTCTGTTTCTAAGGATATTTAAATGAAATTTTCAAATAATATCAAGATTTTCATGCTGGTTTCAGTGATGTAAATTTGAGTTCAATGTATTATACAGTACTAAAGAAATAAAAGCAAATGTAATAGTTATATGCGTAAATCATTCCGAATTTTGTCCGTGCGCCGACAGGCCTTATCGGCCTTCAGATAAATCGGCCTAACATTATTAATATGAAAGATATGTATTTAAAAATTCACAATTTTAAAGAACATTGACTATATTATGTCTGCAAAATTTGGTAAGTATTGGTTGCATGATTAAAAATTTTAAACATTGTCTACGACTTTTTGGGACAACCCTCGTAGATATACATGTGTATATATAACGTCAAAAGTTATGACGTTGTACATGTAGATTTCACTTGAAAACAATACCACTTTCAAACGATTATAAAAAGAAAACTGGAAAAGATATCATTAATAATAAATTGTGTTATAACCCACAAAGTCTGAACTATCACAGAATAAAATTTCATTTATCTTGGTGACAGGGCATATTTTGGCACTTCTTGGATTTAGCTCTTTATGACAAAGGTGTTTCTGCGGACAAACAGAAAATTAACGAAAATAAAAACAGATAGACAGACAGATGGACAGTCTAGGTTAAAACTACTGTACGTGTACATAAATTGGCGTATTTTTGAATAAGAGTCTCACACTTCTGCGCCGTAAATTGTTTTATATATGATTTCTTAGAAGTATTCATGAATATCCGTACCTAAAAAGCTACAATATAAATCTTTAAGTACACATACAGTATATATCCCCGAATCTTCGATCACAGGGACAATAATAAAGTTTTATTTCATTAATTTTCATTTTCCTTGATTCGTTTTTTTTTCTATTTCATTAAGATAAACTTGCAAAGCAAATGGGGAACTTATCGGTAAACTTCTAAGTCGAGAAGACATCGAATCTGCATGGTACTTCAACGGTTCCATCTATGCACAAATCGAGGGAAGCGAAAAAAGAACGAAATTTGACATAACAGATGATCTAGACGACAAGATAAAGAAAATTAGTAAGTGATTTTTTCGGGAAAAAATGTTCCGCCATTGTTTACTTTGTTAATAACAGTCACACCATAAACTTCCGGTTTGAGTCCTGCAAGTTTGGATGATCCACGGCTGACTTTAGTGTCAATTTAAAGTCTATTTTTCATATTTTACGTGTTTTTTTTTTTCTTTTTTTTTTCTATTCATTTATTTTTTCTCTTTTCTTTCATTTGTTTACTCTTTCATTCCTCTATTATGTTTTTCAGTGAGATTGTTTGTGTGAAAGGCCAGTATGAATGTATTGAACTTAGCATTATTTTTACACCGATATGGGTTCGATAAAAATAGCAACAGTCAATTGTCAAGGGTTAAATACACAATCAAAGAGAAAAGATGTACTAAACTTTTATAAAACAAAAAATTATTCTATAGTTTGTTTTCAGGATACCCATTTTACAACTGACTTAGAATCATGTGTAGAGACTCAGTGGGGCTATAAATGTGTGTTTAATTCATATTTGTCAAACTCTAGAGGGGTAGCTATTTTTTTCAATAATAATTTTGAATTAAAGCTCCACAGGGAGAAAAAAGATAATGAGGGTAATATTTTAGCACTTGACATAAGTGTTGATGATAACAGAATTACTATTATTAATATCTATGGCCCAAATTACGATAGCCCTGAATTTTATGAAAAAGTTAGGGACTATTTTTTAGAATTTGATAATGATTATTTTATCCTGTGTGGAGATTTTAATCTGGCATTGAATCCCATCATAGACACATTTAATTATGCAAATGTAAATAACCCCAAAGCCAGAGATAAACTTATTGAAATAATGAATGATTTGAATTTAGTTGACTATTATAGAATACTTAACCCAGATAAAAAAGTTTATACATGGAGAAGAAAAAATCCAATTAAGCAGGGTCGTCTTGACTACATCCTTATATCAGAAAACCTATCAAATATTGTTGAACATTTTGATATAAAACCTGGGTATAGATCTGATCATTCTTCAGTTACAATTGAGTTAAAGTTTAATTTATTTGAACGAGGACGTGGAATATGGAAATTTAACAATAATCTTTTACATGATAAAGAGTATGTTGAAAAGGTGAAACAAAAAATTCAATTAGTTAAAAACCAGTATTTTCAGGACCTAAATGGAGTAGAAGTAGAGACTTCAGTTGATGACTCTGTATTTTTTGACATACTACTAATGGAAATCAGGGGGTTAACTATATCATATTCAACTTTCAAAAAAAGAGAAAAAGATAAATTAGAAAAATCATTAATTGAGGAAATAGAGGATTTGGAAAATAAAAGTACAATTCCTGATTTCTCTGTACTGGAAGAAAAAAAATCTACTCTTGAAAATTTAAGAAAAGAAAAACTAAAAGGTAATATGATCAGATCTAGAGCCAAGTGGGTGGAAGAAGGGGAAAAGCCAACAAAATATTTCTGTCATCTTGAGTCTAGAAATTTTCTGAACAAAACAATAAAAAAGGTAGAAACTCTAGACAAAGGTATTATATATAAACAATCTGATATTCTAAACGAAGTAAAAAATTATTATGAAACTTTATATAAAAACGCAGATTCTGAATTGATAGACGTAGATCTCTCTAATGCCATTCAATACCACAATGTTCCAAAATTAGACATAGAAACAACATTAATCCTAGATAAAGATATAGAAGAAGAGGAGGTTTTCCTGGTACTGAAAAATATGAATAATAATAAATCACCCGGAAGTGATGGATTCACAACTGAATTCTTTAAGTTTTTCTGGAATGATCTTAAAATGTTTATCTTAAAAGCAATAAATCAAATATTTCTTCAGACACAGCTTCCAATATCCCAGAGACTCGGTATAATATCTTGTTTGCCAAAAGGAGACAAGCCAAGACATCTCTTAAAACACTGGAGACCAATAACTCTGTTAAACGTATTCTATAAGTTAATATCTGGTTGTATTAGTTATAGAATAAAATTTACACTCGATCTTCTAATTTCAGAAACACAAACAGGATTTATGAAAGGGAGATATATTGGGGAAAACACACGATTTATTTATGATCTTATGTCTTATACTGAAATAAATAATATACCGGGATTGTTGGTTCTCATCGACTTTGAGAAGGCCTTTGATTCCATTTCATGGTCTTTTGTTTACAAGGTTTTACACTTTTTTGGTTTTGGTAAAAATATAATTAAATGGATTAAAATTTTAAACACAAATTTTGAAGCTTCTATACTCCAAAGCGGTTTTCTTTCTAAGCAATTTCCAGTCCAGCGTGGATGTCGCCAGGGAGACCCTGTTTCTCCATACATTTTTCTTCTCTGTGCAGAAATTTTAGCCATTCTTATTAAACAAAATCATGATATAAAGGGTATTGTTGTAAATGATAAGGAACACAAATTATCTCAATTTGCTGATGATACTTCTCTTGCCCTTGATGGTTCTGCAGGTTCTTTGTATGCTGCTCTTGATACATTAGAATTATATGCAAAATTTTCAGGTTTGAAAATAAACAGTACAAAAACTAAAATTATTTGGATAGGCTCAAAAAAAATTTCTGCTGAGGTTTTCCACCATTCAAGATGGAAGCTAGATTGGGGGGCAACAACTTTCTCCTTGCTAGGAATAAATTTCTCTGTCGACCTAGAAAAGATTGTTGATATAAATTTCAAAGTCCAATTGCCAAAAATCACTTCAATGATTCAGCAATGGAAAAGACGTATTCTAACTCCCATTGGACGGGTAACAGTTGTAAAAACATTAATTGTACCAAAATTGAATCATCTATTTATCTCATTACCAAATCCAAATGAAGAAATCTTAGACAATTTAACACAGCAGTTGTTTAGATTTGTATGGGGGTCAAAAAGTGATAAAATAAAACGTGTTGTTGCTACGCAACACCAGACATTGGGAGGCCTTAACATGGTACATCTTAAAAATTTTATACTTTCTCTAAAATGTTCATGGATTCAAAGAATTATTAAAGGAAATCATTCATGGTTGAGTATTTTTGAAATAGTTTATGGGCAAGATGTTGTGGAAAAGATTTTGAATTTGGGTGATGATTTTGTGTTGAAAATGTTGAAATGTACAAAAAACAAATTTTGGAAAGATGTCTTAGAGTCTTGGTTATCTGTCATCACTGATAATTGTTTTGACAAGGCAAATCTTACACAGTCTGAAATTTTATCAACCCCAGTTTGGCTAAACTCTTGTATCAAAGTGAATAAAAAGAGTATTTTTTATAAAGAATGGTATAAAAATGGTGTAAAAATTATTGATGATTTTTTGGATGTCAACGGGTCATTTTTATCTAGAGAGAATTTTGTGAAAAAATATAGCATTCATCATGTATGTTTTATGCAGTATAACAGCATTATAAGTGCTATTTCAAAGTTTTTAAAAGATTCAAAATTTTCTAGGGTAGGTTTCTCAAAGCCACAGCGCCCATTTTTGCCATTGTTATACAAAAGATTAATATTGATTGATAAATGTTCAAAAGATATTTATAAAAATATTAACACAAAGAATGTAAAGCCAACTGGTTTTTCAAAATGGAATTCAGAAATGCTTCTAAAAGGATTTCAAGAAATGGAATTGAGAGATGTTTTTAATGTGTGCTTTAAGGTGTCTTCAAATTCAGCTGTCCAGTGGCTACAATTTAGAATATTGCATAGAATACTACCTGTAAATTATTACCTTAAAAAAATTAAAATAAAAGAAAATGATACTTGTACATTCTGTAACAATGAATGTGAAACCATATTGCACAGTCTATTCTTGTGTAAAGATGTAATGCATATTTGGAATGATCTTAGTCTACATATTTACAATTACACATCAAAACGTGTAGGTTTTAATATTCAGAATGTAATCTTTGGAGAGTTACCTTTGTCAAATTCAAACTATGTCATAAATTTTGTAATTTTATATGCTAAACAGTACTTTTTTTATTGCTTAAAAAATGCAAAGAAGCCTAATTTAAATGGGCTGATTGCCCATTTAAAAATGTATTATAAGGTTGAAAAGTACATATCTGTTAAAAATCTAACTGCAGAAAATTTTGAGTCTACATGGTCACATTGGAAAACTATGTTGGAAATGTAAATCCTCTGAAAAAAACAACATATTTCGATCAAATGTAGCATACTTTTTTTATCTCCTGTTTTATCCATATAAAGTGTGTAAAAATTTGCTAAAATTGATGTATTGTTGATATAAGTATGAGTGAAGTGCGAAAGTGGGTAGGTGTGAAAAAATTTCTGTGCAAATTTTGATAAATGTATCTGATGTTTGTGTTGAAAGCATGGAAATAAAGCATTAAAAAAAAAAAAAGATAAACTTGAAAATGTTTTGTATCGCAAAAATAAGATCACCAATAATTTAGTTCGCTTGTTTTGCCTCAAACCAAACGAAAATTGAATATTTTCACATCATACAATTTCCATCAATCTAAAAAAAAAAGAGCGATTACATATAAAATATTAATTCTGTACGTGTATTCCATCTTCCAAGGAAGACACTTAGACAGTAATTAATGCCCTGTCACACTAGATGTGTCCACGAAGAGTTATTATGGCGTTGTAAAATATGTAATATCGCCGTGGAATCGCAAAAAATTGCACCAATTTCAGTAAAATTTTCACGTTGTGAAGATTACATTCGTCCCTACGTCGACCGATGCATTTCTATGCCGTTTTCATGGCGTGCTACTGCGTTCCCACGGAGCCCTGACTGGCGGTGACTGTACTTTCGCGGATTTTTCAAGGCATGTTAGGATTTCTCACCTCGCGATCATGGCGTTTTCACCGCCCTGGCTACGTTCACAATCGGTTCACAATCTGTTCACAATGTGTTCTTCACCCATGGGTATATTCTGAAGGTATGTAATATTTGTTCAGAGATTACTTGATGAAAAGACTTCTATTTGTGTCAAGAAATTTTTTTGAATTAAGAATGACCTATTTCAATATTTTAGTAGTGAATTATTGATAGGTCTTTTTTTATTTAACCTCTTCTTTTTCCATTTTTTTTTTCAATTAAGATGTTTTATCCCTTCTTTGAATTCAATATGAATGTTAAAAATAAACACGCTGAAAAATTGTCATAAAATTTAAGTATTTCCTCTGAAACTCTGCTGAAACAACAGAACATGTTCTGGTTTAAATTTTACATCTTCCCAATTCTACTCCCATGCTCCTGGTCAAGAGTGCAACTATTATGCCACTCCTTTGTTTTGTGAGGTGGATAACTCTCTAACAACGCCGTGAAAGCGCAATATGATCGCCGATGGAGCGCATGATCGCAGTGACACTCCTTGCTGTCGCTATGTAATCGCAGTCGAAAAAAATCTCAAGACGATGAATTGTGTGGACCTCAGAAAATATACAAGCGAGGATGTCATTGGCTCATGTCAGGCTAAACATAAATACGCTAAAATAGATGAGGTTCCAACACCTTCCCTTTCGCCAAAACCGGACCAGCCATCCTGACATACATATTCTAGCAATATACAAAGATGGCACCTTTTATAGAACGAAATAATAAAAAGAACATCTCATTTATTGTATAAGTATATCCATATGTCTCATTATAAGCGCCTTAAAAGCGCTATAGAAGAGCAGAAATATCTCCAAGGATTTCCCAAGGTCTCCGTGGAAGCGCAGTCTACTATTACTGCATTAATGCTGCGATCACGTGTGTCTTTACGACGCTCGTATGGAGCTCCCACTGCGTTATTGGAGATCTCAGCGCACTGCTATGGCGATCATACTACGTTTATACTTTTATCAGACCGCGATCACACAGCGCATACTTGTGCATGCCAAGAGTGCACGACGTCCCCTGGTGTTCTAGGAGACCCTAGTGGAGATCTCGCGGCGTTGTAGGAGACACAGGGGCCTGTAACATACTGTATTTGATTTTACGTAATCACTATATGTATACAAAAAGAGAAAGGGAAACAACGTCAGCCCGAATTTACACAGGGTCGATCTCGGAAATGACTCGTGTTTTCAATAAAATACCTTGCAGTTAGTGAAATAACGTCTGGGATCATTCAGTAATAATCACTCTTTAATAAAAATACCATCGCGGTCATTTAAGAATCGTGTAAGTCGTGTTTTGCAGATCCAATATCCTGTCATGCAAGTGATGTAGTCTAAGTCGTCCACTAAATTCGCTAAACATTGCATCCAATATTTAACGCGAGATGTGATTGGTCAATGGTGCTTTTCTAGAACAGATCTGACCAATCACGCTCCGCCTTTTACCAATCATAAGTTTTTCCAAAATGTCGTCTGTTCTGGGCTCGAGCCTCTCTGTGAACGAAAAAAGCTACTGTATTTATTCAAATCGGAGATGTTGTACCTTTTAATTGCAATTAACAAAAGAAAAAGATGATTTTCGTGAACGCTGGATCTTTACTTTGTGTTTTCCATCTCCGGAAAGACTTCAAAACTGGAGAAAATGTGCGAATTTTGCCTCGTTTTAGTGGACGACTTAAAGTACATCGACTCGCACAACGGGATATCGAGTTAGTATTACCCAACTTAAACGCTATAAGAAGTAACGAGGTTTCTGTTTTATTAAAGAATATTTATTGTAGTATTCTAGTTATAGTTTAATTGGCTACATTCTTTTTTCTGTGAAATACGAAATATTTCCGAGATCGACCCTGTGTAAATTCGGGCTGACGTTGTTTCCCTTTCCTTTTTTGTATATATATATATAGTGATTACGTAAAATCAAAAACAGTATGTTACCGGCCCCTGTGGTAGGAGACTCTAGATCTACTGTGCTCATCTCTGCATTTTGCAATTTTTAAGGATGCTGTGTGATCGCCGCGAGGACGCTGCACTGGTGTGAAAGGGTATAAGATTACAATATTCTACCTGTTCTTCTACATGAAGAACGAAACGAAATTTTAAAACCATGTTATGGCCATTGGAAAAAAGTTTACTGTACATGACATGATCAATGAGTATCAATACCTTTTTTTAGATTTTACCCGTTTGATTTTGTGAACTTGATAAACTGTTATCGATATTCATGATAATGACGAATTTCTTTCGGATTCACTCTCTCATGTTTTATATATAATACCTGTGCAGACATATCCATTGCCCTCAAATCCCCGCAAACAGCTACACTTAAAACTTCCGTCTGTGTCAGTACAAATGGCGTTCATTGAGCAGTTGTGATTTCCTTCCATACATTCATCAATATCTGAAAGATATGATATACATGTACTTCTTTATTTTGCGAATTAAAATTGTAAAATTGACTGTGCTCCTTGTCTTTATCGGGCAAAAGAAAAATCCGTAAAAATTTCAGTGTGTAAATACTGGCCCAAAGTCCTATGAAAAATGTCCGTCAGCATTAAAGAGAATGATAAAGATTGTGTTTGACATTTTAACTGTCATAGAACTTGCGAATGAAGACTTCAGACGAAAATGTTGGTATCCTTGTTTCATCAAGCAGAAATAAGATCAGTATCAAAAGGTTTAAATCTATAAGTGGTCTCAACCTACCCTTAAAGGGAAGGAGAATAATTTTTTTAACAAACGTGAATACTTGATTCTTCACTTAGTAGGAATCTTTGCTTATTTCTTTGACTAACTGCGGCTTTTTTTACCCTTAAAGTTTGAACTTCCATTGTGACCCACACCGATCCCGGTCATGATTTGAACAAATCTAAATCTACACTACTCGACAATTCTTCCAAATAAATATGACTTATCTAGCTTTTCTGTGTTTGTGAAGAACATTTCAAAGACTTGTCCTATATATTCATTTATAAAACTTTGCTCGTCCATTGTAGCCCAATCTTACCCCCAGGGTCGCCCGCGTGACGCAGTTGTTAGAGCGTCTGCTCTACAGTCAGGAAGTAAGGAGTTGATCCTTACGGCGCGGGCTCGAATCCTACTGTTAGACGTGGAGACCGGTCCTAGCCTCGGGTGAGACTGTATAAACCAAAGTCCCTTAAAATGCTAACAGAAAAAAAAAAGACTTCTCACTGCTCAATGACCGTAAGTGCCGAGTATACGACAAAATTTTCATCTCTAAACCAGCAAGAGGTGGCGTCTCCGTATGAGTAAAAATTCACAAAGGACGTGAAATAACATACAATCAATCAATTTTCTCCCCAGGGGTCATGATTTCAACATATTTGATCTACATGCAATACGTAAGGATGCTTCAATCAATCATAACTTTGCTGACCTAGAGAAAGATTTTCAAAGATTTTTTTCATATATATCTCTATGTGAAACTTGATTGTCCCTAGTGGCCCCGCTCTACACCGTTGTTCTTAAGAAGACCTTTACAGATGTTTCTCTATAGTCCTATGTAAAACTTAGCTCATCAACTTGTGGCCCTGCGCAAGCCCTTCCCCCGGGGTCATGAGTTGAATTAAAATAAATCTACATTTCTTGAGGATGCTTCCATAAATTTATGACTGCTCATGACTTTGCTGTTCTTTAGTAGATTTTTTAAAAAGATTTTTCCTATATATTTCTATGTACAACTTTGCTCATCCATTGTGGTCTCGCCATTCCCCCGGGGGTCATAATTTGAACAAACTTGAATCTACACCACCTTAGGTGTGTAAGCCAATGACGACTCTTTTGTCGATTTCAAAAGTTTATTAAAAAATCCAATTTACAGCTTTTCCGTGATCGTATAGTTTTAGAAGTATTCGTTTCTGAAATATGATCAGAAAAGACCAATACACTTTTTATATAATTGTCCAAAGGATCCGTCCAAAATACAAAGAGCTGAAGACTGAACTCCCAATAAATAAATAAACAAAAGTCCAAAAGAATGATTCCCAAAAATAGAATAAGAGAGAGTTAGTAATTTATGAATAAAACCGGGAATAGGAATATAAACGGGAATAAGAACGGGAAAAGAGCGGGAATAAAAACGGGAATGCTCTTTTCTGACCAAAACAGGGTATTTTGTGCTCAGTGGGTATCCATAGTCCCGGATATAAAAATGCATTTCATTGGCTAACCCACCACCGCTAACCACCTACGCTTTGTCCGTAGGTCTGTCCGTTGACCTATGAACCCCAACATGGCACCACCCTTAAGTGCAGTTAAATACTCATTACTAATATTTATGGGCTCAGTCCCCATCTCTGCACCACAGGAGTTCTAGCCTTAAGCTCTTTTACTTATTTACTTCAAAGTCCCCCATTCCATTGTTCTTAGTCAAAACTCTTAATAATACCATTGTATTTCCGTTCAAATTTTATTACTTACTATCGATGGGCTTGATTGGTCTATTCGGGTCAATTTCATTACAAAATGATCTAACAAATTATAGTGCATTTGAACAACACCAAAATCCAATTTGTTTTGACAAGATAATAATTGTTTACAAAATAAAGTCCTCTTTCCAATTATAAAGTCACCGAATTTGCGTCACTAATTATATACATTCTGATTTAATAAACTTTTATATCATTTTACTTTCACTGCTAATAACTAAAAATGATTTTGATATTAATATTGTCTAAGTTTAAAATGTTCAAACAATATGTCTGTGCTAAACCCTATAGGTTTACAGGTGTTTAACCAGAAGTTTGACATTTACTGATATAGCGGTTTTTAAGAAGAAGATTTTTAAAATATGCCACTAAATTTTCACTATTTCTTTAATATCTCGAATGGGGGCGTGTGTCATCTTTTGAAGAATATTGATTCCCTCGACCAAAGGATGCCTTATGGCAAGTTTGGTTAAAATTGGTCAAGTGGTTCTGAAGAAGAAGTCGAAAATGTAAAAAGTGTACAGAAGGACCGAAATACAGAGGGACAGACAGATGGACGACGGACAAAATGTGATCAGAAAAGCTCACTTGAGCTTTCAGCTCAGGCAATCTAAACAAAAGAAATGTTTGCAGCACATGTTCTTTTCTTTCGAATCAACATTGCAAATAAAAAACCCAGATATACAGGTGAATAAGGTATATTACTAAATAAGTAAGGAAAATTGTTGATAGAAATGTTGAAGTTTTCATATATATCCTAAAGTGTTTTTATAGATTAACACAACATATTTTCTAGTTAAATATCTCAATATAAAGCAGATTCGTCTTTTATTTCAGGTTATCTGGAAATATTGAATTAAAATATGAATGGGAGTAAATAATTGTCAATTTGATAAAAGGATATAAATATATATCAATTAAAAATTTAAATAAAACTTACTGTAGCATTCTCTTTTTGTCGTTGCGTTCAGACGGTATCCTTCATGACAGGAGCACTCAAAGCCTCCCGGAAAATTTAAACATGAGCCACAATTAGCAGAATTACATTCATTAATATCTTCACAATCTCTCTCATTTATGAGCTGATAACCCTTTTTACAACTACATCTATAAGTTCCTTGTGTATTTTCACATTTATGGTGACATAAGAACGGTTCCTGGCATTCGTCTATATCTGAAAAAATAAATATATCAAGATCATATGCCATGTTTTTCAGTTAAATCCTGTATACATTTGACATGTATGCACTTTAACTATAAAAAGAATAAACTTTGTGCAATAAACTAATATTTCTTGATTGGCAGTGAAAATTTCTATCAAAAGCATTGTTAGGTGCAATTTATCAAATCTGAAATAAGAATCTCGCAATTTGTATATTTATGATTGTAATTGCAACTCTTAGATCACATCTGCATTCTTTTAAGGAAAAAATACCAAAACACCGTCATTCTATGCAATGATACTGGTGTGTTAATTTTAAGTTTGCACTTTGTTGTGGTGCCCTCATATAGCATTGGTTTGGGCACTTGCTACTGAGTCGCGGAGTCAGTTAATTGATCCTTGCGTCGCTGGTTGGAATCATTCTTCGGTTGTGACCGTATAAAATGAATGTCCAGTACTGCAGTATGTGTATGAGTAAACAAGATCCTTCACTGCTTATAGATCCTAATTACCAATGTTATGCCTAAACTTTCAGTCCTCCTATTCGGCAAGTAAGCTTCTTAATATGAATTGAAATTTTTGAATTGATGTTCAATAAATAAACAATTTCTTGCTGTTCATAAATGATAAGCAAGACTGTATAACATAGTTTTATTTGTATACTATGTAAGGTTTTATCCTTACGTTGCGGGTTCGAATCCAACTGTGGGATGTGAATACCAAACCTTTGGATGAGACTGTATAAACCGAGGTCCCACGTCGCAAAAGGCTCTGGCACAAATAATTAAAAAGTATCATCACGACTCAGTGTCCCTTAATCCGAGATTACTCTGACTCTAACCCCCGCTTTTATATTATGACTTGTGCGGGGGAGAGTCAGAGACAAAGTCTGCTGACGTCATGCTCAAAGAAGTCGAATGGCGAGGAGGCGACCTAATTCAAGTGATGCTTCATTTTTCGGTGATAGGGCCGTTTAAATGGCGAAAGCATCCTTTTAGAGACGATTAACAAGTAGGAGAACAATTATTTTACTGATTTCTCGCGCCTCGGGAATTAGCTCCGCGAAATAAAGTTGTAAAAGGTAGGCAGAGTTGCGACACCGGGTGGTTTCGCCGAATTCCCAGTTTTCAATATGGCGTCCGCTCTGACTCTCCCCCGCACAAGTCATAATATAAAATGCGGGGGATACAGTCAGAGGAATCTCGGATTAAGTGGCCCTTAGTGATGAGTATAGGTCAACTATCTACTACCTATTATCGGCATGGGAGTGACAAATTCTCGAGAGGGACGCTTAGCAATAAATTAACAAACAAACGTCCGCTTTAGTCGTAATATTTGCTTTCTCGTATTTTTATAGGTTCGACCTTTGGTATGTTACATGTAGCAACGGGAAGTTGGGAGAGCGTCGCACCTTTACGTTAAGTACTATACATGTACATATCTAATTCAAAAAAACCAACAGACAATGAACAATTCTGACCTTTCTAACACATACTCCTTTAAAAGAAGAAAGAATATGTAATACTTTAAATACTCAGTGTCAAGAAATCGAGATTCATTTGCTAATTCATTATAACATCTTCATGCAAGGCGCATTTACCTTCACAGACCCCCGAATAATTTTTGAATCCTTTAATACAGTCACATCGGTAGGATCCAGGAGCATTAACACATCTCTCATGTGGTCCCGTACACGGACTATTTTCACATTCGTTGATATCTACGTCACAGGTGTCCCCAGTCCAACCTGGCTTACATACACACCCGTGTACATTGTCACAAACACGAGCTCCTCTTCCACATCGACAAAGCTTATCACAGTTCTCACCGTAGTGATACTGGTCACATGCTACAAATTAAAAATAAATAACAAAAAATTCTCAAAAATGTCTCTACCTAATGAACAATTGTTTGTCAGACAAAGATGAAGCATATAGGATTCAATTTCAACCGAGGTTTAATAGTAAATATTGCAATTTCTAATTGTTTTCTCGATGATCACTCATTGAAAGTGTGTTGATTTCTTTGTAATTCAATTGGAATTTGAATTTCGCCACACGGAAAGGTCAGGAGCTAAAAAGGCCTAGTATGCATGTAGATCTCGTGCATTTGGCTTTGTGTCTGATGTCAGTGGGCGGCAATTATTGAAATTTACGTGAGAATTTGTGTATTTTTAATCTATAAGACAAGTTCTTTAAATTTAAATTTTCAAGTTTATTTCACAATGAAAATGGAATACTAGAGGTACTGTGAGCAATGAACTCACTAAATGATACCCCCCGCCTCCCATAATGTCCATGTGTTGCTATATATTGTTTTACGGTAATGTGTAAAGAGGAATAACTCATCCTATCAAATGTTATCCAGAAGCTTCTATATGTGACACATAGGTAAACATATAATAGCAATGTCCATGTTTTGCTATGGGAAACTTAAAATACGTGTCGAATAAAAAAGTAAAATAGGAGGTGCACAATGGCAATATGTAATAAAGATTCTGTGAAAGTTTCATTAAATTTCACTCAGTAGTATAAGAGGAGTTGCGGATAAGAGATAAAGCGTAACAAACGGACGGACGGACGGACGTCTGGAAAGACGTACAGACGGACGGAAATACCGATCACTATATACCCTCCCACTTTTCAAGCGGGGGGTATAATAAGGAATCCCTGTCTAGTGTCTAGCTTGTTGAGCGTGCCCTCGTTGATGCCTTCTAATACCCAACAAAATAGACAGTGATACCTCATTTATCCTTGAACGTAATACTCATGACTACCTGTATACGCGTGTATTATGAACTAGATTTGATTAAAAACTAGAGGTACTGTGAGCGATGAGCTCACTAAATGATACCCCCGCCTCCGTATATTATAATGGCAAAGGCCATGTTTTGCTGTGGCCGGAAAACCCAAAAATATGTGACGGATCAAAAAGTAAAATAGGAGGTGCACAATGGCAATATGTAATAAAGATTCTGTGAAAGTTTCATTAAATTTCATTCAGTAGTATGAGAGAAGTTGCGGATAAGAGATGGGTACCCCAAAGCGTAGCAGACGGACCGACACGGACGGACGGACGTACAGAGGGACGGACGGACGGAATTAACGATTACTATATACCCTCCCGCTTTTCAAGCGGGGGGTATAAAAAGGGCACTTATTTGAAGAAAACCTCAGTAATATTTGTATTTATATTTTTATATAATACCTTTACATGATCTGCCATCATTTTCAAGTCGGTAACCTACAGTACAGCTACAGTTAAACGAGCCCTCCTTATTGGTGCAATTGTGATCGCAGACAGAAACCTCATTACATTCGTTGATGTCTAAAAAATAATAACAAAAAATCACAATATAATTCAGAATACAAAAATCAGAATACAAATGCATAAAAATATTCAGGAATTGCTCAGGCATTTTTTATTGATCCAAAAAATATTAACACTTAATACACAAGAAATACTTGCATCAGAACAACAAGCCGTGTTCTTTTTTAAATGTTTATTTTAAAAAATGCTTTATAACGCATTTTTGTTGATCCATAAAATGCCAGCATATTTATGCAATGATTTAAGGGGTGTAATGAATTCTACAAAGAAAACAAATCTGTGAGCAGGGCATAAAAGGCGGATCCCGGAAATTTCAAAGGTGGGATTACGTGCAAAAGAGGAAAAGAGTAAGCATCCTCTGTTGATCGTTAATCATATGCATTGTTTGGAAAGAAGGGACATCCCTAATTTACCAGCTAGCTTAATATTGATGTCGCCTTCTATGTTGAACGGTTTTACCGGCATAGAGGTAAAGAGAAAAAATCCCCAATAAAAAAGCAAAGTTGATATTAACATGAACATACATCAGAAAATATGTCTTTAACAAACAAAGCATAACAAAATTGCTCATCATTTCTCAATTTCAGCATTTCATGCTGCATTGTTTTACTAAACTAGATATTTAACGTACAGCAATAAGTACGCTCTGTCTTTAAGTCAATGGCATTATAGTATGCTTAAATGTTTCCTACTTTCTTAAAATGTTACACATGTTGAATTTTGCTGTCCTCTTAGATGCAATGTCTGATAACAGTTAGATGTATACATCTCCATTTGACAATCCAAACCTATGACGACATGTTGACAGGTCAACAGAATTACATATTTAAATAAACATGTCTACCTGTCGACCTGTCAACCCATCGACCTGTCAACTTTTCGACCTGTTAACCTGTCGACCTGTCTACCTGTCGACCTGTTAAGCAGACATAGTAGCATTTTTATGAACAGATGATCTCTTAAATTAATTCATATGCAAGATACATATCTTGTTTTGTACATTTATGATCCATTTGATATAATAATTGGTTGACAATATAGAACGCAATAAAGAATGCAATTGATTGGTATAACTAATTCACCAACAATGGCCCTAAATACGTATTCATTAATATTAATATTTAATTCATATGCAAAATATTCCAAGTTATCTTGTTTTGTACATTTATGAATATAAATGAATATGCAAAAATATATATTCTTACCAGAAAAAAAATGGAACTATTTTCGTCTTATAATGTACTTGAGCCAAATCGTTTTCGGCTACCATTTGTTATTTCTGAAACTTTAATGAACTTTAAAATTTTTCTTTACAAATAATAAATATGTGGAAGTTACCTATGCATGTTCTGTTGTCTTTGTCAAGTTCATATCCACTTTCACAAAAACAAATCCCTTTGGTTTTATCAACTGCATCTCGTTTGCAACCATAAGTACAGTTTAATTCCGGGAAGGAGGTACAAGAGTCCTTTTCTTATTGTGAAAATTTAAAAGAAAAGTCTGCTTTTCAAATCAAATTATAAATAGGAAAAAATAAATTCGGGCATTTTTATGTAACCAATGAAAATAATTATTTTTCCAATTATCGGAGTAAATGCCTTATTAATTTATTATCAGCACGACATGTTCTCTGTATGAATATGCATAATAATGAGTAAAACCCAAGAAAAGTTAAACATATGAAATCCAAGTATCCTTTCGCTTTGCAAAGAAAATATGATTGTTTTATTTAAGAACAATTTTTTAAAATCTCTTCTAACATTATTTCCTTTTTCCCGCATAAAATTTCTTTATAATAAAAAAGGTTGAACACATATGTTTATATGAAGTTCTAGCCCTTTTGATTCATGTATACAAGAGGAAAAATACTACCTATTTCACAGGTCATTCGATCTTCCTTTAATGTAAAACCATAAAAACAGGCACAGTTGTAGCCACCTAATACGTTTACACAGACCTGTGAACATCCGTGAAGACTTGTCGAACACTCGTCAATATCTGTTAATAAAACGTATTATTGTACAGAAACTCAAACAATGTTATTCTATTCATTTTTCTTCATTTTTGTCTTGATATTCCGAGAGAGACTGGGTATTCAACATTTTTTAGTCGGGATTTATCTTTAATATTTTAAAACAGGCTTATTTCAAGAAAGGGAAAGAGATAGATCGAAGCTTCGATATTTAAATTCAGGATTTAGAATTTAATGTGCCCAACAAAACTAGAAAATCACAAACCTTCACAAACATTATTTTTCTTCTGAAACCCCTTCTTACACTCACAGGTGTAGTTTCCGAATGTGTTAGAGCAGTCTGTTGTGTCTTGTGGACAGTCATTCAGTAATGCGTCCAGGCACTCATCAATGTCTTAAAGGAAATTAACATAAAATTCAATTGTATGTTCTCCATGCTTAATATAGACATTATAATATTAAATTTGGTTTAAAATTCAATATGTTATAGAAATCTATAGAAAGGTATGTTCACTAGGATTATTTTCTTTTGAAACAAAGGACAAGGTATGGTAGCGGCCGATTCTGTCCGTGTAATTGATGTAAAAACTCAGGACACTGTTAAAATTGTGATAGTTTTTTTAAAAGAACTTAAAATAATGCTTGTTTAAAAACAGCACTTATTTTGATTCAAAGCTAACATAAAATTCACAAGAGGGGTGCATAAGAACATTTTCCCAAACTTTCTCAATTATTGATCATATTTGAGATACTTTTCTCTTCGGAAAACAAACAGTACAACCTTGCCTTTCGAAGATTTTCTTACAGTACATAAAATGTGTTCGGTACTAGTGTATGAAATATATAAATTTGGTAGATGGTTAAGCTTCTTTGTTGCAGTAATGACAACGGCTTTTTACATATAAACTGTGGCACATCCATTCTCAATATAAGGGCACAAATGCCTCTCTGATTTTTTAAAAAATGAAGTTCAAGATAACAATTTTTCTATCAATTGCCTTTGAAAGAAAGTATGTGAAGATTTTGTTTCCAGATTTTTTTTCATCAAATTTTAATACATGGAATAATGACAAGACGGTAAAGTAGAGGGTGATTTTATTCAGAAATGTAGCTTGAAATGTACGTTACTCTTTCTTCAATGTCCAAAAAGATATGTCAAAAAAATGTAGTCATTAAAATCACAATTGGAATATCTCATCTTAACACCAGCACATCCTACCAACTCTGTCAGCAACATATTTTCTCGGCATACGAACGTGCGTTTGATTTTTCCTTTCAAAAACAAAGGTTACTTTTTGATCCAGATGTATAAATACATTTTTTTAAATATGTGCTTTAAATTCTTCTCTCTGTTTTGTTTAGAGCGATCAGTTTGGAATCTTGTCATTTTCTATAGATACTAGAACTTAATGTACATGTAGTAAAATTCTATTTTGTAGTTACTGTCTTTTTTAACATATATCCATGCCGATTTAGAAAACTACGTAAATATAACGTACATTTCAAGATATATTTCTATTTAATAAAAAGCTTAAAATTCATCTAAAAATTCATCGTTTTGTTTCAGTTTATTCCAAAAAAGATTCTCTATGTAATCACATTGTGTTATATGTCACAATCACCACTATAAAGACACGATTGCCTCAGAATATGAGTAGGTAACGTACATTTCAAGCTTGTAATAATATGTGATTTAGTAATAAGAAAATATTGAAAAAAAGCAATTATTGACATAAAAATCATTTCAATGAAGCGTTTTAACGCAGTAATATAAGAAATCATAATGTAACAAACGAGGTTATTTGTTATCAACTACATGTACATGAATGCCACGTCACTTCGGTAACGTTCATTTCACATATTATTGGGGAGTCCCCTCTACCTCAGTTCATTACCATTCTTTTGTGCTATTTCGCTGAAATTGACACCGGTCGTAGTCTAGTTACTTCTACCTGGGTGCAAGGGTACAGACAAAAAAAATAAGTCAAACGTATTTTGCTATGATCTAACAAATGCTCGTGTTTGGCAATTGAAACTTAACATAAATCTATTCCGAATATATCCATCGACAGTCTTGTTAACAATTTCATTTAGTATGTTGCAACATCGTTTGTCAAAACACAAACATACGTGCTTTTCAGCAGATCTGGAAAAATATAACCCAAAATGCAATGATTCAAACAAAACTGAGTATTGTGTGCCTTTCAGTATTTGAAATGTACGTGACCGTCTTGTGTTCTGGGTTTATTTGTTTTGTTTCTTTTTCTTTTTTTTTTTTTTTTTTGTTTTGTTTTGTTTTGTTTTTGTTTTTTTTCCCCCAATTATAAGCCTATGCATACTAGTACCTTGTTTTAAATTATCAACAACAATTAAATTAAATTAATTAATATTGACGAAAAGTAAACAAACTGCAGATGGTTGCCAAAGATGAATTTAAGACACTTAGAAATAAATTTTCTAGCATGTGGTAACAGTCTACCACATTTACGAGGATTGGGGGTGCATTTAGATGGATTTATGTGGTCAGTTGTCAAATGGATTGTAACAATAATTTTGTTTCGCTCGTGTAAGCGCAATTCATTGACTAAATAAAAAAAAATGTCAGTTATAGAAATACGCAAAATGTACGTTACCATACGTAACGTACATTTCAAATATAAAATCAATTATCTTCCACAAGCGTACGTTAGACACGCAATATATTGATACTATTTGAACTTGCATATCATAAGAAATGCATCATACAGGTTTCGTATTCAGAAATATATACCACGTATCAAAATTATATTACATATAATTGACCTTAATATATTTTTTTCCTCAGCAGAAACGTTTCTTTTCATTAATTTTGGGATTTAGCCGACCTCCAACCTTTGAAACTTTCCTTTGTGTACATACGAGTGTGTGAAAGTATGAGAATACATGAAAATTCGTGCGAGATTCACTTAATCGAATTTCATGGTAAGGTATATTTAGTAACGTACATTTCAAATGATCACTTTTCATGTAAAAAATAATTTTCAATTGTGTTAAGCAAAACGTCTTTGCCAGTTTACAGGATACAAGCGGTTGCTTATTCAGAGTCGACTCATATTTTCTACTTAATATATATTCTTAATGGAAGAATATAGGTAACGTACATTTCTTTCTTATCTCTACGATTGAAAATGTCTTTCATTCCGTAAACATATTTATAAAAGTTGCTCAAATTGTTCAATTTCATGTTACATTATCTAAGTAGGAGTAATTAATCCTTTGAAATTTCAAATTTAGCCCATCAATAAATAAAGGAGAACAAAACTATCAGGTGTATAATCTTTGTGTTTGTTTGTAATGTGGTTGAAATAAAATTAAGCGACAGGGACATTGCACAATAAAAATTATTTATTATCACAAAGAAATTGTATTTATTGTTATGAAAAGAAATATATATTATACAAGGTTTAACTTATCAGAAAATTTTTACTTGAGAATCAAAACTATATATTACACAGAGGGGATTCAGCATAATATTTGCCTCGGCGACAGTAACGTACATTTCAAATAGGCTACTATATGTGAATTTGGAACTCCTTAAATACCCTTTCAGATCGATAATTATATGAATTCTTATTCATTGTTACATGACTATTTATAATGTTGATTTAAAAATTACATCAGTGGTATTTCTTCTAAATGAAAATGAGGCGACATTATTTGAGCCCTTATATTGAGAATGGGTGGGGCATCATTCTAAAAGACCCCCCAAATGGGGAGCCAAAAAGGGATCTTAGACTATCTTGTCCTTATTGAAATGGAAGCCATTGATCAGAACCAACCTTTACAATTATCTTCAAAGACCTGTAATCCATGTTCACAAAGACATTTGAAAGAACCTTCTATGTTTTTACACAATTTATTAATTCCACATATGGTTGGATCTTGATGACATTCATCAATATCAACACTGCAGTTTTTCCCTGTCCATCCATCTTTACAAATACAACCAAGACCTGGATCACACCTGTCTACACCTGGACCACAATTACACTCTTGTGAGCAGTTGACACCGTAATATGGTAGCTCGCATCCTTTTAATAAAGCAGTTTGAAATTAATATTCTTATGAAGTGTTAAGACAAGTGTTAGACCTCTCTCTCTCTCTCTCTCTTCGGTAAATCCATACATGTTTTCCCCCTGTTCTTCATTTTGAAAGAAGTGAATTTGTGATTAGTAGTATACAGCTCAACGCACATTTTAAACTCACATGGTTTTTCGCACAAATTAAGGTCACATGGTTTTTCGCACAAATTAAGGTCAAATTGTTATAATGCAAAATTGTGAAAAGCAACAACAAAATATATTTTAAAAATGATCTATTACTTGGTTTTGATCTTATTCCATTACTTTAGAAATAACTCACACATAATAATTTGTAATTTGTAGGATTTTTGTATGTTCTTGGATGATAGATGAAGACAGTTCTCAAATGGTGTTTTCATGGTTTTTCGTCAAGTGCAGCCGTCTTTATATCCATTCATTTTAAACCATACCTTTGCATTGCCTAAATACAGAAACAGTGCAGTTCCTGTAACTTCTGTATTTTCTGTTAATTAATATGACACTAAGGCGCAAAATGATAGAAGTATTTCTCATCTGTTCGACAGCTTTCCTTGTTAAAAGATGGAATTTTGTCAGGTTAACTTTCTGAAATCTAGGATCATGAAAGATACCTTCCAACGCAAAATTTCAAAGTTTTAGATCATAAATGTAAAATAATTTTCTTTTCAATGATAACAATTTACTATGTTGAAAGATGAACAATACTTTATTATCCTATCCTTTGGCATGGTTTCTTTACGCAGTTTTGTCATTTTTCGGCACTACATTTCGACAAAACCAAGTCAAGTACGGAAAATATGCAAAGTATTTAGAAAAATACTCATCTGTAAGAAGTTAGTTTGAACATTTCAACTAATAATATCAAAGAAAGCTCGATAAAATAATTTGTGAATACCTATGGTATAGAATCATACACATGTCACATCATACAATTTATAAACAATTCCCTTTTAAAACATCGAGTTTTAAAACTTAAGATAATGATTTTAGAGAATTTGCACCTTTATAATGAAAAATTTTATAATATAAGGGTTATGTCTTGTTCTGAAGCTCGATAATTTTAACTTTTATTGCAAGAAAAATGTAACCTTGTTTTGTGCGAAAAACCATGTGAGTGTATATTGTAAGTTACTGTCATTATTTGAAAAAAGACAGCGTTAATTAAATCAACTATCGTTATTGATAATAATATATCATATGTTAAATTAATAGATAAGTAAATTTCAATGCCTTATCATTGTTAACCATTGAAATAACCTGAATAGTTAATATAAAATTGATTCTTTTCATTATAGTGGCAAAATGCATTTCCTTGTACACACGTGACCCACGGTGACAAATAAACATCTAGAAAAATGGCTCCCATGTCACGACTATGAAAAAATGGTATTTTTAAATTTACTTGTGTGTGTGAGGGTGTGTGTGAGAGGGAGGGGGTGAGGGTGTGTGTGTCTGTGTTTATGAATATTACTTGAACAAGACGTTTTATCGGCCCTTAACTTGAATCCCGGACGGCATGCACATTTAAATGATCCATTGATGTTAACGCAATCTTGTTCACATGGAGAAGTTTTAAGTGCACATTCGTCAATATCTGAAAAAAAGAAACAGCTTTGCAAAATTAAAGAAAAAGGATGCCATCAATTGGGAAAACTCTCATGCATGGTGTAGTAGTGTTTCTATCTTCTTCTTTTTAATTTGCTTGAGAATATAATTATGTATATATAATTTCTTTAAATATATATTTCACGTCACGTGTTAAAAAAGACAAGATAAAGTTTATATACCTGTGCAGTTTTTGTCGTTACTTGTTAACCTATAACCAGCGGGACAGATACATTGGCTGATTCCATCTATATTACTACAAGCGTATTCACATTGCATCTCAGAACTTTTACAGATTTCATCATCTAAAAAAATGTGGAAAAATTTCCATGCGAAATATTTTATCCAATGAGGCTAAATATTTTCAGTCAACTTAATATACAGAAGGACGTTTTAAAAATTGTTCTTCTAATTTAATTATCTATATTTAAAATATTTTTGTCCAGAAAAAAATGTTACCTATCTTATTGCAAGTGGAATTGTCCTTATTTAGCGTAAACCCCATGTAACAGGTACAACGAAAAGATCCTGGAGTGTTTGTACATATATGATCACATCCAGACTGTCCTTCTAAACATTCATCAATATCTGAAATGTTCATAGCAAATAGGAATAGCAAAGAAAATCAAACACAAAAGAGGAAAACACTGCGAACAATAGTATTGTTCTCCCGCCTACCTCAATTTTCAAAATTTAACATATTTGACTGATTTGAATGACTTCATAGATATTTATATGGATTTTCATAAAACAGTACTTGTTTTAGATAACAGAAAGTAATAACTCTATAATTTTGAAAAAAAAAACTTTAGAAAACAAACGGAAAACGGAAAATATTTTTAGAATATCCCCCTTGAAACAAAAATTCCATTTTACACGTAATATGTACTGCCGTTTCACAAATTCATACCAAAGCCTTTTTGTGTTTCACGGGGGAGGGGGGGGTTGTACGGGAGAACACGTTTATGGACAAAAAAAACTACAAAAATGCTTATTTTTACCGAATTCAAGGCGATTTACAAGTTTACTCCCTTTATTTCAAGAGCTGGGATTAGGGATAACGTACATATAAATTAGCGCTAAAAACGAAAAAAAATACCCATTGAACTGTACTTTGTATTAAGGTATGTCACTCGTCAGCTTTTTAGAAAAGTTCACGCAGAACCTTTTACTTCAAAACTATTTATTGAAATTCAATTTTTATAACATATTTAATTTCAACAATGTTAATGTTTTGTCATTCAACGAAAAAACTGCTCAAAAAGCTACAAAGAACCAAGAGGGACTATTTCTTGTGGTGGAAGGATATTTAGCGGATAGTTCTCTAAATCTGCACATTAATCAAATTTAATATCTTGGAACTTTAGCCTCACATGCTTTTACTCGGAGAATATTTTCCGTTATGATATTGCTAGGAATATTTAATATAGGTCTTAATGTATATTTTTAAAACAAGTTTTACACATTCTTCAACAAACTTTTTCCAAAAAATGAAGATATGTCAAATAAGTCAAGATAAAATTTACACCATTTTTTGCCGGAAAATCACATATTTTGACCAATATTTAAATATTAACATCAGTGACCCCAACTTTTTCTTTCGTTTTTTAAAGTACTTGATACTAGTGACTGATTAGCACTTAAGTCGTAAAAAGCTTGATTTAAGAAAATGTTTTATTACCAATTTAGTTTTTTAATATCCACAAATATGTTACTTTTTAGTGCAAAAAGGTCACACAATAATTTACGCGCATTAATTTGCAAGATTTGATCAATAATAAAATATATTATTATTCAAAATATTTTACATAAATAAAATCATATTTATTGCCATGGTTACATTTGACAAAATATGATAACGGTTAAGGTAATTAACCAAAGAGTTAAAATTTAAGTGCAAAAAGGTCAACTTCATTGTACTTTAGGTCAGAAATAATGAACACTGACCCCCTATTTTCTCTGCGATTTTGAGTCACTCTATATAATTATTTATCCAAAATATACTTCTCAAAAAATCCTTGATTTAACAAATTTGACGAATGACATACCCTAAGCAAAGATTTAGGGCCAAATTCCATAAATATTGAATTAAATGAGTTCAAAAATGTAGGCGAGAATCAAATGTTAGCGTGCGTACATGTAGCGTATAGTTCTTTATCATATTTATATTAAAAGAGTAGAATTATACTTGCATTAAATTTTTTTCAAAACACCGTTTACGTACTATGATATATAAACAATGAGAAAATGGAGTTTCTATTACATTTAATATAATGTACAGCTCAAAAGTGCAACAATTATTCGAGTTATACTTTGCAAAAGGGATTTCATTCATTTCTGTTAAATTCAGAGTTCTTCTTAATATATTAAGAATATAAAGCAGAATCAAAACTCTATAACGATTAATTATTTCCAAAAATAGCCATCTTTTTTTTTTTTTAAAAATACTCAGTAATTATCTCTTTATTTCGTACATCAACATACCCTCACATTCTTTGTCCTGTTTCCTATATCCATTTTTACAGTTACATATGTAATCTCCATCTCTATTCAGACATGTTTCTTTGGTCTCATCACATTTATTAAGTTCAGCCGATGCACATTCGTCAACATCTTCAAACATTCATTTAGCATTAAAATGTTCTTTAGCAGATAAATAAATTCGTTTTTTTTTTTATTTTCGATAAAAATGATTAATCCTAAATCTTTGACATATATACTAGTACCTGTATAAATATGTATTAAAAAGTACAAATTAATTCATCTATAATCGATACTTTCAAACAGTTGCACAATTGTCTTGATTTAATATAAGAAATATAAATATGTACCTTGACATTTATTGTCATTGTCTTTATAACCAGATGGACATTCAGTGCAGTTGTATTCACGACCAAGTCTGACCTCTTCTTCCGGGGTCAGATCAGTACAGTTTCTATCCAGAGGGCAGGGAAATTCCAGGCAGGCATCTGTATCTTTCTCACAGTTTTCTCCTATATCACAAGATCAAATAAAATAGTTTCTTAGTAACCTGATAGTGTTGGGTAAGAATGTATTTTGCAACGATACTATGCAAAAGAAACTTTCCAGTAAGAAACTGTTCGATGTTCTGTTTAAGCAATTGAGTATTAAGATTTTAATGAAGAGTTAATTAAAACAAGAGTTTTTTTTTGGCTTTTAAATAGCAAATTAAGACAAAAGAAAAGTCAAACACATTTGAAATTACCGGAATATCCAATGTGGCAACTGCAGACTGCCCGGTAAAATCGGTCATTTTCAGTAGCTATGGCATTGTCATAATTACAAACTCCATGGTCACCACATCCAGAGCACAAGATAATAGAGATGTCCAATGAAGGAGACTGTGCCCCCATGTCATCTACTGCAATAATGCTTTAATAAAAGAGAGAAGATGGAAAGAGCATTAATTAGACTTTTGTCCTTAAGGAGAAGGTATTGTATAAGATACATGGACGACGAAAAACTGAGAAACGAAAATAACATAAAAAGTAAAAATAAACCTGTATTTTTACTATTTTCATAAATTTTAGCATAAACCTGCATTTTTACTATTTTCATAAATGTATATATATCCTTTTTTCTTCATAGATAGGTAAAATTAAGTGACTTTTTAAAAAGTACTAAGGATAAGATTTTCTTATTTTGGATATGTCTCGAAAACTAATCGAGGAAAAACTTACACATGTATACTCAAACAGAAATAGCAATGAACTAGAGCAAAGCTCGTTGCAAAGCAACGAGTAGGTCTTCCGTCCTGTTTGACCGTAAGTAGCTTTCATTTTTAACAAAAATAAGAAATAACACCCAAAAATGCTTTGAATCCTCTAAAGCTATGTTAATTAATGCAAAAATAAGCCATTTTTTTGCTACTTCCGGTTTGACCGGAAGTGACAACGACGAACGGAAAATTAATTTTTATGCTCCCAGAGACATATGTTACCCAAAAACTTGTCAAAAACGACAAAAATACTCGTTTTCCGACTACTTCCGGTTTGGCCAGAAATTACGACGCTGGACGTCTTTTGACGACTCCATTAGATTAAGCTTGACATTTTCAACAACTATGCATCTTTGATATAACAAATTCTCAATACTTTTTGAGATATCTGGAAAAAACTTTTGGCCCCTCTAGATCCCTTAATTTAGGGGTCAGCCCTTTTTCCGACATATCATTTGAAAGATCTTCTAATTCTGCACAAATTATTAAGGTCTTCCGTTTCCAACGGAAGACCTTCTACTGATTCTGATGATTAATCTTATTATTCTTTTTTTTTTCCTTTTCCTAGACGCCAACTTTGAGGCCTCATATTTCACTCATTTCTCGATGGATTTTGCTCAAATTTTCAGAGTTGATAGACGTTACTAAACTCTATCGGAATATTATCTAAAATTTCAAAAAGTCACTTCCGGTTTTGAGTTATTTCCCTTTAAACGAAAATTTATAGGCTTTCGTTTCCAGACAAAGGCTCAGAGACGGCTAAAGCTGGAGCAAAAATTCTACTGATTTTAGATAATAGAAGGATTGAAGTTGTGCATCGTGGTTTTTGTTTTTCGATTTCTCTATTCAAGATGGTGCTATATAGGGTTCAAAAATTAGAACGCCTAAAAGAGCGAAAATTTACACATATTTTGCTTTTTATCTTCTAAACTAAAAATATTTTGTTAAAACATATAGAACAAAATTTGTGCAGAATTACAAGATCTTTTGAATGATATCTCGAAAAAAGGGCTGACCCCTAAATTAAGGGAACTAGAGGGGCCAAAAGTTTTTTCCAGATATCTCAAAAAGTATTGAGAATTTGTTATACACCCAAGAAGCAATGTTGTTCAAAATGTCAAGCCTAATCTAATGAAGTCGTCAAAATGCGTCCGGCGACGTTACTTCCGGTCAAACCGGAAGTAGTCAGAAAATGCATATTTTTGCTGTTCTTGACAAGTTTTTGGGTAACATATATCACAAGAAGCACAAAACTTAATTTTCTGTCCATCGACATCACTTCCGGTCAAACCGGAAGTAGCCAAAAATAGCTTATTATTTAAGGTTTTGATGCAAAATTGAAATTATAAAGTGACTGGAGACGACTAAGCCCATTGCTTTCTTTTTGCTGACGTCACTTCCAGTCAAAACAGGACGGAAGACCTTCTCGTTGCTTTGCAACGAGCTTTGCTCTAGTGTTCTATATATTTTAATAAAATATTTTTAGTTTAGAAGATAAAAAGCAAAATATGAGTAATTTTTGGTTCTTTTAAGCATTCTAATTTTTGACCCCTATATAGCGCCATTTTGAATAGAGAAATCGAAAAACAAAAACCGATGTGCACAACTTCAATCCTTCTGTTATCTAAAATCAGTAGAATTTCTGCTCCAGCTGTAGCCGTCTCTGAGCCTTTGTCTGGAAACAAAAGCCTATAAATTTTTGTTTAAAGGGAAATAACTCAAAACCGGAAGTGACTTTTTGAAATTTTTGACAGCATTCTGATAGAGTTTAGTAACTACTAGTAGCTCTGAAAATTTGTGCGAAATCCATTGAGAAATGAGTGAGATATGAGGCCTCAAAGTTGCGGTCTAGGAAGCAGAAGAAAAAAAGAATAATAATCTTTACCAACAGAATCAGTAGAAGGTCTTCCGTTGGAAACGGAAGACCTTAATTACAGTAGGAAGAATAATCAGCTACTTAAGCCAAGGTGCATTTTTAAGTCAAGTATTCGATGTTGTCTGACATTTTACCTGATTTCAGAGACATTAATGAGGGGTATCCATCTTGCTATTCCTGTTTCATCGTCAAAACTGAAATTGTCTGGTTGTTTTAAAAGTTTATATGTTGGTTTCATTTTACCATCGTCGGAAGCATTAAATGTTAATTCTACTTCTTTGTCGACTTCCACATTTATTGTTGTGTTTCCCGATATCTGTGGTGTTTCATTTTCTGCAATGAAAAAAGAAACACTTTTTACAAAAGTGTCGTATAACTATCAAAGCTGGATTAGGGTATTTTTCACTCAAAATAAAAATCATGGGAGTTGTGATATAAGACTCGTCTATTAATTGTCATACCTATGACTTCGACATCTGATTTCGAATTCTTGTCCTTTTTACCAGAGGTTTCTGCTAAACCAATGTCCCCTGTTGCAAGGTAATCTGATATACAGGCTTGAGAAGGGTCTGATCCACATTTTTGTTTTGCTTCCTTCAATCGGTTTTCATCGACCTCATCAGTGAAAAGTGGTACAAACTCGGGATGAGTAAAATTTTTGTATGTAAATCCATCCTCATATTGAAATAAAGACTGCTCGTTAACAGACCCTTGGAGTAAATAAAACATAAGATATCAATATTCAGAACAAAAAAAATATTAAAATTAATTCGATTTGAATAAAAATAGCTTACAAAGTTGTCCAAATCTGTAGTAAATATTTCTTTCAGTGTTCATATCATCTTCTTTTAGCACTGTTCCATTCGGAAGAATGAAGTCATTTGTCTTGTTTCCATCAAAGTTCCCCATCAGGCCTATCGTAAGTCCCTTGTGCTTGTCGTTGACCAGCGTCTCACAAATCAGAAAACGTTTTCCGAGACTTATTTTTATCGTTATAACTGAAACATTTCGGAAATACATTTGTACATAATGCTTTCGATAGACTGCGATAATTAAGAAAGACAAAAAAGGAACATCATATGATAAAGCATAAAACTTACAAGGTTTGAGAAATGTTGCCGAAAGTGTTCGATTTTCCATTAGAATAGATATGTTTGGTGTTCGAAAAACATAGCTAGAATTTCTTAATTTTGTTGTCAGGTCCATCCCGTTGCCTCGAATTATCATATCTGAAAAAATAAAGCAAGAGACTCTTCTTCTTCTTGAAAATTATTTCTAAAAAGCAAATTAAGGCATCAAAATTTAAAACGTGTTTTTGTAGTTGTTTTTTTTTTTCATCATTTTAATATTACGACTATGAAAAAGCAAATAAATACTGTTAAGTTTTAAACATGTTTTAACCATTCAATTTTCATATTATGAGTATACAAATTAGAAATGCAAAATTAATTTGAAACAAGTGTTTTCATTATTATCAATTTTTTTTTACATTTTGATCATACATTACATATGCTTACCCTTTTTGTCACGAGACATTTCGACTTGTATTTTTGAACCTGTATGATCTCGGGCCACAAATGCACTAAATATTGTGGCATTAATAGATGTCCCATTTTCTGATGTAGCGAGCTCTGTTCGAGCCTGAAGATCAAAGGTGTTTGTGCTGGTATTTATTTTCATCATTGTGTATTCACCATACCCGTTAAATGTGTAGTCTTTGCCATCAAGTGTAGTTATGTGTGGATCTCCAAAGTTAATTCCTGTATAAATTTATTTATACGAGAGAAAAACGAAGTAATTTTAAAAAGAAGAGAGAATATGTAAAATAAAGTACATTGCAAAAAGTGTATGCACTGTGCGAGGGTTATCCGGTAAAATAGTGGAAAAATTGTCGAGATTGAAATTTTGTAAAGTAATATGTTATGTAAGATCGCAAATTCACACGTTCAATATCCCAGTGATGTTACTTATTTTTCTTTTGATAAAAATATTAGTCATTTCTCGGATGGTTGAAGCAGTAGATCGAGTTTGACGAGAGATTTTTAATATATGCAAGTGTGATGTGCCCTTCTAGTTAAACTGACCATAAGTTTAGATCTTTAAAGACTGGCAACAGAAAGAATATGTTTGCAGAGAATTTATTGTACGGAGTTTCAAATGAAAATACAAGTGGATGTGACCGACTACAAAAATTCAAGATGGCACCCGATGTATACCTTGTTTATTATTCTAAGGGGATGTATTTTTTATTTTTAAAAAAAGAAATGTCAGGTGCCTGTTTTGAATATCTTTACAATGATTTAAATATTAAATCTATAGAGTATCGTTTAGTTTAGATTTCACAAATCAGATATGACAAAAAGAAGGTGTAAAAAAAAAAACTGAATAAACGACTTTCACATGATAGGGGATTCGGGTTGTGATAGTAATTATGTTCGTTCTGGGAAAGGATCCCCTTATTTATACATCCTCCTATTAATGACATTTTGCCATTTCTCACTTATGGGTTGTTATAAGGTCCCCCACGTCCCACGGTGGGATTCGAACTCGGGACGTAATGATCAACTCCTTACCTTGCGACTGTAGAGCAGACGCTCTAACCACTGCTTCACGCGGGCGATTTTGATGAACAGAAAAATGCCAAACCGGATGCGCATTTAAATGAAAATAAACTCTGTAACCTAATATTATTTCTTTTATTCAATTAGTTCGCGAACTCTTTGATCACACCTCCTATACTGAAAGTTCATCTTAAATTTAAATTTTGATTTAAAATAATAAAGTATCCTCTAACAATGTTAATCAAATGTTTTAAAATAATTATGTGTGCAGTAGCTAGAACTTAGAAGTAAATCACAGGAATCGTTAACAATTTAGTTGAGTCAGTACAATATTGTAAACTATCCTACATAAAGAAAAAATTTTATTACCATATTATTTAAAAAAATGAAAAATAAGATTACCAGGTTGAAAAGGTGACCTTAGGTAGCAACGAGGAATTGGACGGACTTCGTAATACCAATTACAGTGGCCTGATTTGCAACACTGATTCCTTGGTTTTAGATCAAAATTGTTGTACTTGTATGTTTCAAAAAAGGGGTTGTACTGCAGAACCGTCCCTGCTAAAGGTTTTGATTGATCTAAGGGCCCTAAATGTTTCGTATCAGCATACATATTGTAGCAACATTCCTAAATATAAACAATAAGACTTCAATTAAATTTCAGAATACCTTCAAACAGAAGGATATGAAACTACTTAGCACAGTTATCCATACATTTCTTTGTGGAGAACCTATAGTTTAACCAGAGTCTTACCAAGTTCATGTCGAGTGTCAGTGAAGCGTAACACAACATTCTGTTTGAGCTGTCGAACCTATTGATTGTGTATCGTGGATCAAACTTCAGAAGACGTGGGTCACAGGGACATTCGATGTTATTTAAAGTGAGAGATAATTTCTGTCGTATCTGACTCACGACATTATTGTCATACCATACGAAACATTCTTGTTCTTCTCGCTTTGAATGCACACTTTCTGTCATTTTGTAAATCCAGAAACCACGTTCTCCTGCGATAGGAATCATTTTAAAATCATACATTAGCTATTATAGTGAAACATCTACGTTAGTTACCAGGTTGCCGATTAATTTCAATAAAAACTTAATTTGAAATTCACATTTCATTTCTTTTCACAAAATATTAAGAGGTAGTCCGCCGAAAAACCAGGCAGGGTTGTATTAATAGGCGGCACATCGAATGTGACGAATATTTGAAATTTTATTGAAAACAATATCAATGTAGTCCAAATGGAATAATGTAATCGAAGATTTGTTTTAAAATTGCTTATTTAGTAAAATATCCTTTTGTTTCGTGTTCTTGAATTCCCCTATATAAACCATTGAATTTAGGTCAGAAACAACGAACTGTAATTAAGGTCTTCCGTCTCCAACGGAAGACCTTATTGTTTTCGTTCGGTTTCTTTTTCCCTATTATTATTAAGGTCTTCCGACTTCCTTCGGAAGACCTTACTGTTTTTCTTATGTTTCCTATTATTATTATTTTTCCCTTTTCATAGTACACGAGATATCTCGGAAACTACTGAACCGATTTCAAAGATTTTTTCAGGAATGATGCATTTTTGTAATATCTCCAGACCTTTTTTTCATTTTTTAAAAAATCACTTCCGGTCGCATTTTTTGTCCGATTTTCATTTTTAAAATCGTCATTTTGTCCACGCATTTTCTTTTAAACCACTCAAGACTGAATCACAAAATTTTCTGGGATGGTAAAACATCTCTTTAAGATATGTATTACGTCTTTCAATTTCGCATCCGTCACTTCCGGTTGACACAGGAAGTGATGTTTAATTTCAAGATTTTTTGAAAAATTTAACCGTCTTGAATAAAGGCAAACAGAACTTATGTTTACATTCACAATCGTCAACAAAAAGCATCGATTAGAAGTACTTCCGGTTTATACCGGAAGTTGACGAAAAATTTTACTTTCTCTCTTTAATCAAAAGAAATAGAAAAAAATGGTTTAGTTTGAGTTTTTTCTGGTCTTTCTGCTTTGATGAAAGCTGGATATGAAGCCCAAATTGTCGAAAGTCGTCAAAAAACGTCACTTCCGGTTAAACAGGAAGTAGTCAAAAAAAGCATATTTTGGCCATTTTTGATATGTTTTTAGGTAACATATGTTACTGGAAGCAAAATACTTAATTTTCCTTCCGTCGACGTCACTTCCGATCAAACCGGAAGTAGCCAAAAAAATTTATTTTGAAGGTTTTGATGCAAAATTGAAATTATAAAGTCACTGGAGACTACTAAGCTCATTGCTTCCTTTTGTTGACGTTACTTCCGGCACTTCCGGTCAAAACCGGACGGAAGACCTACTCGTTGCTTTGCAACGAGCTTTGCTCTAGTTATTATTATTTTTCTTCCAACCGATTTTGTGCAAGCGATTTCTCAGAGATGGCTCGTCCGATTTATATCAAACTTTCCGATCTGAAAGATATTCAATTGATCTTGATAGGTTTTTTTGCTTTTCGATTATCTCACTTCCGGTCGTGAGATATGGACGATTTTCTGATTTTTAGAGGGTCGGCTTGTCCAGGAAACTCCTCCGAAACGACTTAAGATATCGACTTAAGATTTTCAGTGAAAATAGAGGAAGGTTTGGCGAATTGTAATTGGGTCTCCAAATCTTTCTAGGGCAAAAGGCGCCGGCGCTCGGTAGGGCCCGAAAAAATGTCTCAGAAATATCTCACAAAATTTGACACGTTTTGTTTCATATCTTCACACCTGTTCATAATTTGTTAAAGCATATTGAAGAAAAAATGTGCAACATCACAAGACCTTTCATTTGATGTCAAAAAAATAGGGCTGACCCCTCAAATTAGGGGCTCAGAGGGGCCAAAAGTCTTTTATCTATAACTCTCTAATGATCAATATTTTGTTATACATTACTGAGGCAAAAGTATTCATCTTAACAATATGCAACAATATATGATATGGTTTTGATCATATGTTACGTAATTAGGGGTCACAAGGGGCCAGAGTGTCAAATCTTTGACGCTTTATATCTCAAAAAGGGGGAATATTTTAATAAGCAATATTGAACAAAAGATGGTCAGAATAATGTTCTAAACAATATGCATACTTTGAATTTTTGTAAATCGGCCCCCTTAAGGATTTGTAGGGGTGGCCCCTAAATATTTCCATTTAGGATATCTCCAAAACGAATAGAAATCTCTGAACAGGTGTTGAACAAAAAGTCTTTGAAATCACAAGACCTTTCTTTTGATATCAAGAAAACTGGGCTGACCCCTCAAATTAGGGGCTGAGAGGGGCCAGAAGTCTTTCATCTTTAACTCTTTAATGATCAATATTTTGTGATGCATTACAGAAGCAAAAATGTTCATATTAACGATTTGCAACAATATATTTAAAATTGTGATCATATGTTACGTAATTAGGGGTCACAAGGGGCCAGAATGCTCAATATTTGACGCTTCATATCTCGAAAAGGGGACAAATTTTGATAAGCAATTTTGAAGAAAAGATGGTCAGAATAATGTTTTAAACAATATGCATACTTTGAATTTTTGTAAAACGACCCCATTAAGGACTTGTAGGAGTGGCCCCTAAATATTCATATTTAGCATATCTCCACAACGAAAAGAAATCTCTGAATGGGTGTCGAACAAAAAGTCTTTGAATTCACAAGACCTTTCATTTGATATCAAGAAAAAGGGACTGACCCCTTAAATTAGGGGCTGAGAGGGGCCAAAAGTCTTCAATTTTTAACTCTTTAATGATCAATATTTTGTGATACATTACAGAAGCAAAGATATCCATCTTAACGATTTGCAACAATATATTACAAATTTTTTATCATATGTTACGTAATAAGGGGTCACAAGGGGCCAAAATTCTATTTCTGTGATGCTTTATGATCTCGAAAATGGGGAATATTTTAAGAACCTAGATTGGACAAAAGATTTCAAGATATCGTGATATTCATCAGAAAATTTAAATTTAATGAGGAAAACTTAATATCATTCTCTATTAACGAATATCTCAGTCAAAATCATATCTCATCTTATCAAGAAAATCAACGGAAGACCTAGATCTACTCGTTGCTCGCAACGAGATCTCATCTAGTTTCCAATACTTATTTAACAGGACTATAATTCATGCTGAACTAAATTTAGAAATATTTCGTTTTTCAGTTTCAAAAATAGAATTGGTGGGCAAAACACTTTTGATAGTAGTTTTCTGTCAAAATATATAGACGTTTTTATGAAATTTTGCGATGTAAGAGTTATCTCCCGTGGCATCGGTAAACCTGCTAAACACCTTACTATCGAAATCCTAGTGAAATATTTAGAATATATACACAAAATAAAATTATTTAACAAAAAATTACTACTTTATTTTCAAAATAGAATTCATTTTCGCCTCCAAACGTAATATTTAGATTAAGATTGGCAGTATTATTCAGGTTGAATCCACGTTTCCATTGATGTATCAGTGACGTCATATACCTGACTAATATTGCGTCACAATTAAATAGTTACAAGTTTTCTAAAGATGTTTGTAAATTCTTCGCATAAAAGTGCAAATAAAACGATTAAAAATAAATAATTTCTCTTTTTCTGTTCAATTACTTTTCAGAGTGCATTATCCTACATGTTAAATAATCATATATTTTTATATAAAATGTATTTTTTTCACGGGCGACGTCTCAGCTAGAAGTCCCTTTTGAAAAGTAATTTTGTACATGTCCGAGAACTAATTTTTTAAACTGATTTACTAGGCTATGCGTACAAATACGAGTAATTAATTGTTTATATTGAATATTTCTTATAAAATTGGGATGTGAAGAGATTTTATTTTCTTCTGATTATCAAGGAAAGATGAATATTTTAGATTTACGCAACATTTAATTCAAGCCAACGGAGTTGATATGTTTATTTCATGATATTTTACACACACACACACACACACACACACACACACACACACACAAAAGAAAACAAAAAACAAAAAACAAAAAAAACAAAACAAAACACTTGATTATATTTATCTATACAGTCAAACCAAAGTAAACGATCCGCGGTACGATTAAAAATATTTTATTAAAAAAGTGAAAAATAAGATTTAAAAAATATTATTGAGGAAAATTACTGTTGAACTCCCCACTTCAATTTGCCACTAAAACGGAAGATTTCGTGGGCGTATTTTTTGTTTTGTATTGTATTTGTTTGGGGTTTTTTGGGGGGTTAAATTTGGTGATTGAAACAATCACATACTCACATTCAATATAAAGCTAAAAAATGTGACCATGTTGGCCAATTCTAAAATGTTTTCCCATTAATGAAAGTTTTTTTTAATATGCCGCCTTGCCCCCGACCCCCACCCATCCACCCCGTCCCGGCTTTTTGCTTGCGATTTATAGGCTCTTAAATAATGATACTGTATATGAAATAACTTATTTTCGTATTAATATAAAATTAAATTTTATAAGATGAAAATATAGGGGAAACGGCTTTTATAGGTGACAGGTTTAAAAAATTTGGATAAACTATGCACATTTAAATATTTATAACTATAGACTATGCACATTTAAATATTTTCTGCATTTAGGTACGTGCAAGTATATTTTCGCCAATGATAGAATTGAACTCTTAATTCACGAGAGAATCAAAAAAAAACTTTAGTTGGAAATAAGATATTTAATAAAGATAAGCCGTTTACTCTCAGTTGTTGCATAATGCATGTACAAATACTTGTTTTTTTAATACCGAGTATCAAGATATCGAACAGATGTTATACATGATTGTAATCTTCATGTACGTAAAAGACAATAGTATTTTAAATACATTGTATAAACATTTGAATCTATGGATAAAATAATTCTAAAACAGTTGACTAACTGAACAGAAATAAAAGACAAGCATATTTTTTTCTGATACATTAAATGCAGAATATTTCTAGTTTTATAGTAAAAACCGATCCCGATTGAAAATAATTCAAAATGTGTAAAGTTATAAAACTAAAGACAACTGCCACCAATAAGACATGTAAAAAAATAAATCAAGTAATTTTTTGGCCATATTACAACAAAAGAGCCAAATCTAACATTACAATTATAGTATTTCCTTCTTTATATAATTCCGGTCGGGATCGGTTTAATTGTGAAAAATTGTAAAACATAGGTAAATTTGACTCCTTTTATTTCTCTCAATATACGGGTGCCCACTGATTTTATTGAGTGACTCAAAAGTTTGTACTTTGTATTCATAATAACATGAGAAAAAAAATCTGTCATTGAAATGTATTGGGTTTTATAACGTAATGAAAATTGGCTAATGAATTCAAAGAGTTACTTGCTAAACTCAATTTTGGACCACAAATTTTTTTCTAAAGAAATATAAATTGGAGTCTTATTCATTACTAAAATTAAAGATAAGAGTCTATGGTATAAATAATATTGATGGACACATCCAGGTTTTGCGTATCTGGTACATATAAAACAAAATAAAAACGTAGTAATTTTTTTTTACCCCCATGTTGACCTTTTTGCACTCAAAATTGAGCACTTACCGAAAATAGGATTAGAGGAGCACTAAAAAATTTTTTGATGTTATCATGTGTAAACACTTGCTTTAATAAGTCTATATGCAAAAAATAATAAAAATCCATGACATGCGATGTGCCACCCATTGCCTGATTTTCAGTGGACTGCCTCTTAAAAATAAAATAAAATACTAATATACATGTACAAGTATATAAGTATAGTAAATGAAATGTTGCTTTTTTTCTAAAGATCTTTCAGGTTTAAAATACCTCTATTTCCTGGGTTCACACTCATCCGGAAAGCTCCTTTACGGTTGGTGAAAGAGTTTTTAGCAAAGAATTTTTTGTAACGATATCCAATGGAGACTTTTCTATTCCCAATCGGTTTTAAATCTACATCAACGTAGTTAATAACTGTAAACGTATTCTCACCGTCTGTGATAAGGAAGCACTGAAATGTGACTTTCTAAAGAAAAAATTAAACTCACTTTAAGAGATCTCGATCATTAAATAGGAGAGAGAGTGTGTGTGTACGAAAGCGTATAAATGCCATATAATTTTTAAAGGTGATAATTCCGACTTCCAGCTTTAAAGTTGGTATTTCCGACTTCAATCTTGGTAATTCCAACTTAATATTTGGTTATTTCAGCTTGAATCTTAGCTTTTCCAACTCTTTGAGTTTTTTAAGTTCTTTCTCCGAGCATTTTCTTTCTTTTTTATTATTATTGTCACAAACGTAATGTAAATAATATGAATTGAAATAAATTTATCATTTTTTATCTACGTCAGATTTCTTTTTTTTTACCTTCCCTACAAATATGTATAACTTCCAATTTTTTATTAAAAATCTTTACTACACTTTCCGTCCATCTTAAATATATAGAGAATAACTTCATGCAAGTCCGTACATAACAAGATTCAACCTTACTTATTTAAGAGATCGGACATTTACATGTATTTTGTTTTGGATGAAAGAATAAGCTTTAAGAAATGAATTAGACCATTTTTTGGTACTTGATATTATAGGATTATTCAAACGCTATTCACATTCTACAAATACAAGGGAACTTAATGTATCAGTTCTGCAGTATATCGAACATAAAGAAATCATTCTTTCTTTCATGATTATTTCATACTTAAAATCGTAACTTTCCCTTGAACATGTTGAAATTGCAACATGAGTTCAGCTACAAAGAATCTGAATATAACAAAAAAGCTATACAATGATGAAACAGCTTAGAATAATGTTGGAAAATCCAACTTTAAAGTTGGCTTTCAAGATTAAAGATTAAAGTTGAAATTACAAACTTTAAAAAAAAATTCCTGACACTAATAAGCTTCCGTTAAAGAGAAAGAGAAAGAGAGAGAGAGAGAGAGAGTTAGATATTAATAAAGAAAAAGAAATTTAAGCGCTGCTGATAGGGAATTAAAACTGACTTGTAAATCTTTACAAGAACATCTAAACGATAACTAGTACCTTTGTTTTATCGCCATATAAAGTCATGTTCTCCCAAGTAACCTTTACAAGCCATGATGCTCTGAAATTTCTCAAGTCTCTGAAATGTTTTTTGACAATACCATCTGCTTTTTCCATGAACATAGAGTCTATATTATCTCCTTGGATTCCCCTGAAAAGTCGAGTCGTTCTTTGTAAATCTGATTCAATTTCACTTAATTGCCAAAAAAAAGGCAATGATTATATATTCAGTTTCATTGATTAAAAAGTTGTTTTACGCCAGGCTACAGGACAAACAAGAAAGAAATCACTTACATTGTCATTGGTCATTTCCAAAATATTTTGTCATTCCGCTTGTACACACAAGTACCCAAAAGTTCAAATTAAAAAGATGATTGTGTTTCCATTGACAATATCTATGTACTTTTTGGAGATCAAGTCTTCCAACCATCTGTTGGAATAAGCATGGGTACAGTTTCTCCCTTGTTTTGCCAAACCATATGAAGAAAATTTTTAATAAGAAATTCCTGATGAAAAGAATTTTCTTCATAATGACATTTTGAGATATATATATATATATATATATATATATATATATATATATATATATATATATATATATATATATATATATATATATATGACGTTTCATCATGAAACAATATTTTTTTTATTTAGGACTAATGTTGATTTAATTTTTTTTTCATCTCACAATACAACCACAGATGCTAATAGATCTGTTTCGTGTCTGAATTTTTCACTAAAAAAAACATTAATGGCAACCGACATGCAATAAAAAGTCCATAATGACTTAAACTTTTCTATCCAAAGCTTTCTTTATTTTTTTTTATATATTTTATTTTGGGGGGGAGGGGGAAAGTGTGTTAACGTTTCATCGAAAATATTTTTCTCTCAGATTGAGAAGTCACCAATCGCCGATAGAGTGCTGCAAATTTAGACCTGTAATCGGCACTTACCACCTTTCTTTTATTGTAACCTCAGTTTTTACGGTCTCATCCGAAGAAGCAGTCTGCTTGTACCGTACGTAGAGGGGTTCGAACCAACAACGTAAAGGATCAACTCTTCACTATGTCATGACAGAGCAAACGCTCTTATCACTTCGCCACAAGGCTGAGTTTTCACTTTCAACTCTTCGACTTTGAGCACGTTTTGACCACTTTTTGCTTATATT